CTGCCTTTGGGTTGGCATGGGGGCGCTGTGGTTCAACATTCACAGTATCACAAACATACACACACACACCTACGACAACAGAGAACATGCAAATATGCCCACACCTAAAGGCACACACACCGTGGATGAACCCTGGACTGTGAGCAACCATGTGTAGTAGTATAGGAGTAGTGTGGTTCTGTATTGAGATATAGAGAGAAGATTGACTGATATAGTAGAACGGACGTGTTGAGAAGGAACCAGTTGAGGGAATGGCAGTAGTGTGGAGCAAAGTGGAGGGCAGTTGGACTGATGTAGTTGGAGAGTGTATTAGCTAGGACTACGGTGCTGCTGTAGTGATCGGATGCTCTGTAATGGCTAGATGATTCAGACGGGTTGGCCTGAACTATCCTGGCCTCTCCAGCTCTCTGTGGTGCATGTGTCACTCTGCTCAGACCTCTGACTGGGAGTTATTCACGAGCACGCTAAATAGAGAGACGGGGGGAGAGAGGCCAGAGTTTGTTACACGCCTGAGTGTGTGTGTGTGTGTGTGTGTGTAGCAGAACTCGACAGTGAAAAAAGTGTGCGTTTTTCTGTGTGTTTGTTTTTGTCAATGTGTGTCGGCATGTGGCTTTTAAGTGTGTGAGAGAGAGAAGCCCTCAAAAACCAAACCCTGCAGCGCCTTACACTTGCTCGCTCTCTCGCTCTCTCTCTCTCGCTCTCTCTTGTTCCTCTTCTGTTTATTTTAGAGAGGTTTGTTCTATCTACTGTACTGAACTCCCCTTCACACACACTCCTTACCCGTCGGACCAGTATGAGAAGGGGGGAGGGGAGTGGGTGAGGAAAGGAGAAAGGGAGGTGGTGTTTGACAAACGTACGCCCCTAACAGGATGTGGAGGTCTGCTGGCTTGTGGGTGTGTCGGCTTGGCCCAGTCACAACACACACACACACACACACACACACACAGTTGTGGGAGGGTTCCTGCTTGAGGGCAAAGTCTCCCTTCCCTCCCCCATTCCTCCCACCCGTTCCTCCCCCCTCTCTTACCCCTCAACCTTTCCCTCCCTTGCGCACCCCCTCCACATCCTTACCTTCTGACAACAGCCTACACCCTTCTTTAAAGAAGAGAGAGAAGTGTTATTAAAGCACGGAGGACTTGGCCAATGAGAATGAGAACACATTAGGTGTTTTTGTGTTAATGTTTTCACATGGGGTGGTTGTTGGGTCTATGTGTGTTGTATGGTGGTGTGTTGAGTGGGTATGTGTATTGTTGGGCTCTTTGAGTATGTGTGTCATTTTTTTTGGTCAGTCAGAGAGGGCCAAAGGATGTCCTGGAAGCCACTATCTGTCCTTCACCACCATCTGTCCCCTTCTCCATCCCTCTATTTCACACTGTCACTTCTGCTCTCCTTCATATATTGGAGCTATGTGTGTGTGTGTGTGTGTGTGTGTGTGTGTGTGTGTCTGTGTGTGTCTGTGTGTTATAGTATCTTTTTTTGACAGCACACGCTCACATGCAAAACCCAAATTATACCCAGTGTTTTTCTTGGTTTAAACTCATTGCCATCTACACAATGTGGCTCTTTTAATCAATCAACCTCCTTCAACCCCCATATCCCGTCTTAACCTGCCTTCCTCCCTTCTCAGCGTAACCAATCTTTCTTCTGCCCTTATGCCCCCTCTCATCCCATTTGTCCCTCCTCTCACATCTTTCCCTCTTTACCCCTGCTACCCTCACACTGCATGGGCATGCTATGAGGGAGTGAGGCCTACATCTAGCCCACAGGCCTACTACACACTAACAATTAGGGTTCCTCAGGGGTGATGGTTCCATGTGGAACCATACTGACCCAAAGAACCCTTTGAGCCCTTCAATGGTTCTTTGCAGTTCAAAAAATGGTTATTTCCTCTTTTAGTGATAATTAAAATATATGGGCGGCAACCACACCCCGAATATTTTGGGGTGTGGTTTGCCCACAGCTCTTTTTGTGCAACCGTGAGTGAGAGCGTCATTCCAGTTGATCTAATCTGTTGTGTTATTATTACATGTTGTATGGCCTTGTGTCAATTGAGAACAGGTGAATAAGTCAGTAGTTCTAATATCTTTCCTCAGAGCTAGCACATCTGATTCAAGTTGTTGATAAACACAATAATAAAACCTGTGTAATCTTTACAATATAAAATGGCTATTATACCAGTATGGTTCTACAAAGAACCTTTTGAAATTGAGAAAGGTTCTTTACAGAACCATTCTCCATAAAGGTTCTATAAATAACCATTAAAACGTGTTCTATTATAGCCCCCAAAAGGTTTGTAACCATAGCGGAATCCTTTTTTGGTGCTATATAGAATATTTTTTGAATGGTTCTTTATAGAACCTTAGGAAAGGGTAATAGCACCATATAAGTTCCATTTAGAACCTTATGAGCATGGTTCTTTATAGAACCTTCAAAAAAAGGTTCCATATTGCACCACAAAGGGTTCCGCTGTATTTATAAGCCAAAGAACCCTTATTTGGCACTATATAGAACCATTTGTTTTTAGAGTGTATACCTCAGGGCCAACATGTGGTTGCGGGAATCCCGAGACAGCAGGAGTGAGAAAGAGAAGTGCAAGTGAGAGGTCTGTGTGTTTTACTTCTCCAGGGTAGATTGGTAGGTTGGTATTTGTGTGTATGTGTGTGTGTGTGTCTGTGTGACACTAAAACGTCTGACTGCTTTCTTTCACAGGGACACCGAATAGCAAACTAAAGTGAAGGATTTTCTTTTCTTTAGAGAAAAAAACTGAGAAATCATCAGGAGACAGACTAAGGGGTTTGTGTGTGTGGTTGTTTGTGTGTGTTTGTGTGTGTTTGTGTGTGTGTGTATAATGGTCTCAGAGGCTGGCTGTGTCATTCTTTGTCGCCGCCCCAGTGTGGCGGTTAGACTTTTTGGCCTTCCCTGAGTTCCCTTGACCTCGAACGCATCCACGCTCAAGGTTTTGTGTGTGTTTATTAGCTGGAGGGAAGACATGGGAGAGAGGGGAGATATGAGGGCAGAGGGGGATGTGATAGTTTTTGGGTGTCCCGCACTATCTCTACCCTCTCCCCCTTCATCCCCTCTACCCTCGCTCCCCGAGCCCAGATAAGTGGAGCCTGAGTCTGTGGGGGTTAGAGATTCCTGTCTGGCATGCACACACACACACACACACACACACACACACACACACACACACACACACACACACACACAACACACAGATCTGCCCGCTCTACATTCCTGTGTCGGACTGAGGAAGCAGCCTAGCCGTCTTCCCCTCCATTTCCAAATTATCCCCTTCTCCTAGAGTCTCCTAAAATCACAGTATACTTATCACACACCTCTCTACCTCTCTCTACCAAGGTCTCATTCTCTCTCTTATTCCCCTATCTAGCCCTCTCTTGTTCTCTCCTTAGTTTCCCTTCCCCATTATTCTCTCTAGTTATCTCTCTTTTCCACCGCTTTCTCTTTTGCCCTCTCTCTACAGCATCTTTTTCCTTCTAGTGTATTACCTGTATTCTTCCCACTCTCACTTCTCTTCTCACTCTGTTCAGTCTCGTTTATCATTTATCTCATGTATCACTTTTTCTCTCTTTTTAACCCCCTGACTCTTCATTCCCTTATCCTTCCTTTTTCCCTCTCATCTTTTTTAGTTGTCTTCCTTTCCTCCCTTCTATTTTCCTCCCCCTCTCTCTCTCTCTCTCTCTCTCTCTCTCTCTCTCTCTCTCTCTCTCTCTCTCTCTCTCTCTCTCTCTCTCTCTCTCTCTCTCTCTCTCTCTCTCTCTCTCTCTCTCTCTCTCTCTCTGGGGTGTGTTCTAGGGCTTAGGATGGGGTCATGTGGGCTCATGCTGTCCTTCTCTCTAATGGCCCCTTAATGAGAGAGCGAGAAAGAGGGGGGGTAGAGGGGATAGGAGAAAACGGGGAAGTCAGGACGAACTCCCGATCTATTCAGGGCCAGAGCTCTCTATATGTGTGTGTGTATATGTGTATGTGTGGTATGTGCGTGTGACCTACCACTCACTCCGTTCAGGGCCTGAGCTCTTCCCCCTCTCAGGGGAAACAGGAAATGACACGTTTGCAGCCTTGAATAAGCGCAGGGGCCTGTGACACGCTCTGTCCACTGGCTCCTGGGGGAGACCAGGGGGAGGAGGGGGGAGGCAGGGGGGAGACCTATTTCATTTGCACAGCTTCTGCTGATTTGATCAAAAGCAATTAATATCAATGGTCCTGCTTTCATCTGGCAGGAGGGGAAAAGAGCAGAGGAGCAGCTCCCATCCCTCTCTCTATCTCTTCCTCTATCCCTCTCTCTATTCTCATTCTTTCCTTCTCTGTCGCTGTCTCTATCTCTCCCTCTGTCGATCTCTCTATTCTCCCTCTATCCCTCTATATCTTTCTCCATCTTTCTATCAATCATCTATTTCTTTCTTTTTCGATCCCTGTCTTCAACCCACATAGGCATATTCTTAGAATTACTGTATGTCAGACACATTGACTATTATCAAGAATACATCTTTGTATTGAGGTTTTGTTGAGTGTTTATACTGTATGTAGGAACAGTCAAGTGTTACTGTAAGTGGTATTAATGCTGCCAATGGAAAGATGAGATTAGAGTGTATCCTCATATGGCTCCCAGTCGAGGGCTGGTCATGGTCCGTCTGGTGACCTCATAGTCCTCAAAAACACCCAGGTTTTACTCACCTTAGCTCCGACACCTATAGATCTCCACTGATCCGCTAATACTAAACTGATGCTAAGCTAGCTCTACTATAGCTTGGCCTGATTTTACAGTAATAGGGGCGGCAGGTAGCTTAGTGGTTAAGAGCGTTGTGCCAGTAACCGAAAGGTCGCTGGTTCTAATCCCCGAGCCGACTAGGTGAAAAATCTGTCGATGTGCCCTTGAGCAAGGCACTTAACCCTAATTGCTCCTATAAGTCGCTCTGGATAAGAGCGTCTGCAAAATGTAAATGTCTTGACTAGGAGTTAGACGTCTCCTTTGGCCCCTAGCAACCCCGAACACTCAACTACAACCCAATCTCTATCTGATTCTCCTGTCTCTCTGTGCTCTCTTCCTTCCCCTCTCTATGTCTTCCTCTGTATACTGTACTCAATTGTTAGAGGAAGTGTTGCCAAGGCGACAGGAGGCACAAAGGCAGCGTCAATGTGAGTGAGTGAGGCTGCAGCAGTACTAATGTTAGGGGACTGGAGAGCTGCGCACATAGAAACAATACAAGGTGATCTACTGATGTACAACACTTATTCCCTCACTCCCCTTTGAGGATCTGTCACAGATATTACACCCATACCATCTCCCTCAGACCTGGAAGACACTCTGCTGTGTCAGAACAAGAGAACACTCAGCACTGTCTGTCACAGGGCTTATGTTCCTCCAGTAGTCCGGATGAGTTTGTACAGGAGTCAGTTTCTTAGTAGTACTCCGTGTGTCTGTCCGTAAGCAGGGTGAGTTGGCTGTGGTAGTAGTGTTTCTGGCTGTAAACTGGTGGCACCACTCCCTGTTTTCTCTCTCTCAGTTCAGTTCAAGTCAAAGGGCTTTATTGGCATGGGAAACATGTTTACATTGCCAAAGCAAGTAAAATAGACAATAAACAAAAGTGAAATAATCAATCAAACTTAACAGTAAACATTACACTCACAAGTTTCAAAGGAATAGACACATTTCAAATGTCATATTGTGGCTATGTACAGTGTTATAATGATGTGCAAATAGTTATATTTACAATGGTGTTTGATCTTCACTGGTTGCCCCTTTCTTGCTGATGTGATGGCACACTGTGGTATTTCACCCAATAGTTATGGGAGTTTATCCAAATTGGATTTGTTTTGGAATTCGTTGTGAGTCTGTGTAATCTGAGGGATATATGTGTCTCTAATATGGTTATACATTTGGCAGGAGGTTAGGAAGTGCAGCTCAGTTTCCACCTCATTTTGTGGGCAGTGTGTACATAGCCTGTTTTCTCTTGAGAGCCAGGTCTGCCTACGGTGGCCTTTCTCAATAGCAAGGCTATGCTCACTGAGTCTGTACATAGTCAACGTTTTCCTTAATTTAGGGTCAGTCACAGTGGTCAGGTATTCTGCCACTGTGTACTCTCTGTTTAGGGCCAAATAGCATTCCAGTTTGTTTAGTTGTTTGGTACATTCTTTCTAATGTGTAAAGTAATACTCTTTTAGTTTTCTCATGATTTGGTTGGGTCTAATTGTGTTGCTGTTGCTGTCCTGGGGCTTTGTGGGGTCTGTTTGTGTTTGTGAACAGAGCCCCAGGACCAGCTTGCTTCTCTAGGTTAATCTTTCTGTAGGTGATGGCTTTGTTATGGAAGGTTTGGCAGGTGGTTGTAGAATTTAACGGCTCTTTTCTGGATTTTGATAATTAGCAGGTATCGGCCTAATTCTGCTCTGCATGCACCAATTGGTGTTTTACGTTGTACACAGACAATGTTTTTGCAGAATTCTGCATGCAGAGTCTCAATTTGGTGTTTGTCCCATTTTGTGAATTCTTGGTTGGTGAGCGGACCTCAGACCTCACAACCATAAAGGGCAATGGGTTATATAACTGACCATTATTATTGTCTTACTGAGATTTACTGTCAGGGCCCAGGTCTGACAGGATCTGTGCAGAAGATCTAGGTGCTGCTGTAGGCCCACGTTGGTTGGGGACAGAAGCACCATATCATCAGAAAACAGTAGACATTTGACTTCAGATTCTAGTAGGGTGAGGCCGGGTGCTGCAGACTGTTCTAGTGCCCTCGCCAATTCGTTGATATATATGTTGAAGAGGGTGGGGCTCAAGCTGCATCCCTGTCTCACCCCATGGCCCTGTGGAAAGAAATGTGTGTTTTTTGCCAATTTTAACTGCACACTTGTTGTTTGATACATGGATTTTATAATGTCGTATATTTTTCCCCCAACACTGCTTTCCATCAATTTGTATAGCAGACCATCAAAAGCTTTTTTGAAATCAACAAAACATGAGAAGACTTTGCCTTTGTTTTGTTTTGTTTGTCAATTAGGGTGTGCAGGGTGAATACATGGTCTGTCGTACGGTAATTTGGTAAAAAGCAAATTTGACATTTGCTCAGTACATTGTTTTCACTGAGGAAATGTACAAGTCTGCAGAGGTTTTCCCAAGGTTGCTGTTGACGCATATCCCAATGTAGTTATCAGGGTCATATTTGTCTCCACTTTTGTGGATTGGGGTGACTAGTCCTTGGTTCCAAATATTGGGGAAGATGCCAGAGCTGAGGATGATGTTAAAGAGTTTAAGTCTCTCTCTCTCGCTCTCTCTCTCTCTCTCTCTCTCTCTCTCTCTCTCTCTCTCTCTCTCTCTCTCTCTCTCTGTCTCTCTCTCTCTCTCTCTCTCTCTCTCTCTGTCTCTGTCTCTGTCTCTGTCTCTCTGTCTGTCTCTCTCTCTCTCTCATTCTCGCTCTCTGCTTTTTGGACAAACTGTGCGTGTCTGCTTCCCTTCCCCACCCTACATTCCTCTTTCCCCATGCAGCCTCTCCCCCGCTCCCTCTCTCCTTTACCTCCTACTCACTCACTCACTCACTCACTCTCTCCCTTCCCCTATACTCCTCCCTCCTACTCTCCCCTATCCCTCTCTCTCTTGCTTTCTATCTCTATCTCACTCTCTCTACCTTCTCATATTCTGCTCTCCCTCCTACTCTCATTCACCCTTCCCCTATCCCTCGCTATTCTGCTCTCCCTTCATCCTACTGTCTCTCCCTTTTCTCTAGATGTTCTATTACACCCTTTTCTTCCCTCCCTTTCTTTCTTATTTTCTCTTTCAACTCTCTCTCTCGCATTCCCCTTACTCTCTCTCTCTTTCTCTCTCTTTCTCTCTCCCTTTCGCTCTCTCTCTCCACCTCTCCCTCCCTCCCACTCTGCTCAGTCCTGTTCCGCTAAGCTGCTTAACTCCCCAGATTACCTTGAGCCCTGCAATCCTCCAAACCTACCCCCTCTCCTCCTCGCCCACCTTAATCAGTCACTCAATCAGTCACTCATATACTCCCTAACCTCTCCCCATTCCAAACTTACCCCCTCCCACACTCACTAACCCCCAAGTCACCTCTCCTCTCTCCAACGTCCACCTCTTCCCGTTTTTCATCCATCCACCCACCCACACTCACTCATACACCCGCTGCACCCCTCCTACTCTCCCCCCTCAATCATCCACCCACTCTCCATCCACCTCTCCTCTCCTCCCCCTCCCCAAACACATACACAATGACTACTCCCCCCCCACCTCAACCCCCCCACCACTACCATCATCACCACCATATTTTCTCTACCCTACTCTCCTCTCTCTTGTCATTCTCTTTCTGCCTCCTTCCCTCCTCTCCAGCCTTCAGGCTCTGTTTGATTTATTCCTCCCCTCCCTCCCTCCTCCCTCTCTTCTTCCCTCCCTATCTCCTTGGAGGTTGTGGCCCAGCTAGTCCCTAAAAACAACAGAGAGCGAGAGAGAAGGAGAGAAAGAGAGAGAGAGGGTAATAGAGGGAGGGAGAGAGAGAATAACAACCTCTTTTACTTTCCATCCTCCCTTTTTTACCCAGCATTTTTTTCATTCCCCTCTCCCACACTGCTTTTTAAATTGCCTCTGAATTCTTGAACTGCTTTAATGTCTCACTCCCCTTCTCCACTGAAATTACTTTTTACCCTCTCAAACTCTGGCATGTTGAGGAAGCAAGTTCAACCTCCCCTCCCTCTTTGTCCACTCGCCGACTCACACACATACATTACACTATTGTGTACACGTTTGGTATTTTTGTCAACATGGCCCTTGTGAAATCTATTGTGAATGTGTTTGTGATCTCGCTACTCGTCCTAGGCTAGCCATTGGTTGTTTGTCCTATCCCCAGGCTGGCCTAGCTCTGAATAGACATGAGTGTGAGGACAAAGTGCTAAGACACCCAGGCATGCTAGCAGCATTGTTGTATGCGACATGAGTAGTGACTCAAAATGAACACCCAGAGCTGGGATTGAACCCACAGTTTATGGAGCAGGAGTTCACTGCTTAGACCACTGTGCCATCTGTCCACAATGAGTTAGCAAAGCGAGTCTTAATTAATAGCTAAACTTAACCGTGGAGTTGTTTTTCTGTTTCAACCCTATCCCAAACCTTAATCCTTAATTTAACCAATCGGAATTAATGCAAATTAACCCTATCCCAAACCTTAATCCTTAATTTAGCCAATTGGAATGAATGCCTGAATTGTTAACCAATCAGAATGAATGCCTGAAGTTAATGAAATGTGGAAAAACGTCTAATTCTGCAGTGAGACTGTGAGAGCTTGTTGGACAGTGAACCTGATTCTGTCGCAGTGGGATGGCTAAGGTCTCGGAGGTAGATGTCTCATATCCCCGCCCCAACCTAAACCATTTGGGGATAAAACAAATGTGTTAGTGGGAAACTGCCTACTCCTACTGACCTATTCACACTGTGTGTGTGTGTGTGTGTGAATAAAACCTGATATTTATAGAAAATGGACACCCCAAACTCCCTAACACAAAAGAGTGTTGGGTTTCCTGATGGGAGTGGCTACACACACACAAACACACATACTCTCCCTCCCTCAGCTGCAGAACAGAAGGTCAAAGGTTACATGGAGTCAACTGACCCTTCCTCCCTTTTCTGCCCTCCCTTTTTTCTGCGGTGAAACACGCACACTAATAACACACTCCCCTCATAAAACACACACACTCCAGTCAGATATACTGTTCAGGCTGAAACTTAAGGTTACTTGCGTAACCCCGGTTCTCTGATATTATGAGGGAGCTATCACACTAGTAGAGTTTACCAGAATCTTTTAAGTAGCTCGAAGAACCAATCATACATGTGTGTCGGAGACAGACGGGTCGAGTGGCGAATGAGGGAGCCCCTCACCTCATACTAAAGAGCCACCCGCCTGCCCTCTGATTATTCCCGAGCATGCCGAACTTCTTCACACTCTTGCGAGTATGGGTATGTGGTGAGATGTCTCACTCATAATATCAGAGAACCTGGGTTACGCAAGTAACCTTAATTTCTCTTTCAATTATTAGTTTCAACTTCTCATTAGTGGGATGTGGCCAGCTCCCGTATCGCACATGCTTTCCGTAACCAGGTAGTCTCAATATCATTGCTCAGAGGCCTTTACACTGAGGACAGTATGCGCCAATGAGGGTGCAGTGACGTCTAGCCGCATTGCAAATCTCCTGCTAGGAGATGCCTTTGAACAGTGCCCAAGAGGTAGCCATACCTCTGGTGGAGTGAGCCCTTAGGACCCCGGAGGCTGTAACCCCTTGCTATTATAGGATAATATAATAGAATCCACAATCCAATGTGATAACCGTTGACGAGAGAGGGGCCTCCCATGCAGGGAGGTGCCCAGGACACAAAGAGTTGGTCGCTCTTGCGCAAAGCTCTCATGCTATACAAGTATATGTGCAATGCGCATACTGGACACAAATGGTGCAGCCGCTCCTCTTCCATAGAAATGAAAGGTGGCAGGTGGAAAGCCACAAGCTCCAAGGCGAGACAATTGTAATTGCCACTAACTTTGGGCATAAAGGCGGGGTTGGGCAACAAGGTGACCTTGGAAAAGCCCCGGGCAAACTGCAAGAACGAATGGTGAACTGACAGTGTATGTAGCTCACTCACTCGTTTTGCAGACGCAAGGGTGACCAGTAAAGCAGTCTTAAAGGAGAGCTATTTCATCTCTTCTTCTTTCCAGCAGCTCAAAGGTGGACGTGACGTGCCCCCTTCATGAAACGACATAACAGGGGGTGTTTTCTCACCGTGTTCTTGTCAAAGCCTATATGACAGGCCAAGATAGCAACTAGATAGACCTTAACAGTGGATAAAGCTTTCCCTCTGTCCAAAATGTCCTGCAAGAAGCATAAAACCTGGGACACAGAGCATTGGTAAGGATTGTTTTTTCATTCCAGCGTGTAGAATGGGCCCTAGCACTCTGGATTGTCTCAATGACTCCAAGTGACAAGCCAGTCACATCCAGATTCAGACTCTCACGTGCCAGGGCCAGAGGGCCATGGTTTCGGGGTGAGGGTGGAAAATCTCAGTTCGCTAGCATCAGCAGATCCCTGCGTAATGGGAGTTGCCAAGGCTTGTTCTATAGTAGGAGAGTGATCTCCGCCATCCAGAGCTTGCCTTGCCATCAAGGGGCTACAAAGATGAGGGATAATCCTCATTCAGACGTGGGCAGTATAGGAGTATCATGGCAAAAACTGTCAGACTGGCCAATAGCTTCTACCCCCAGACCATAGCCACTTGGAAGCTACCTGCTCCCCCTGTACCCCTCCTGCCCCCCGGACTTCCTTCCCCTCTCCCACTTGCTGCTCCCCCTATGAATATTTTCCCTGCCCCACCCCACAATGGACATTTGTCATACTTACAGTTGAAGTCGGAAGTTTACATACACTTAGGTTGGAGTCATTAAAACTTGTTTTTCAACCACTCCACACATTTATTGTTAACAAACTATAGTTTTGGCAAGTCGGTTAGGACATCTACTTTGCGCATAACACAAGTAATTTTTCCAACAATTGTTTTCAGACAGATTATTTCACTTATAATTCACTGTATCAGAATTCCAGTGGGTCAGAAGTTTACATACACTAAGTTGACTGTGCCTTTAAACAGCTTGGAAAATTCCAGAAAATTATGTAATGGCTTTAGAAGCTTCTGATAGGCTAATTGACATAATTTGAGTCAATTGGAGGTGTACCTGTGGATGTATTTCAAGGCCTACCTTCAAACTCAGTGCCTTTTTGCTTGACATCATGGGAAAATCAAAATAAATCAGCCAAGACCTTAGAAAAACAATTGTAGACCTCCACAAGTCTGGTTCATCCTTGGGAGCAATTCCCAAATGCCTGAAGGTACCACGTTCATCTGTAGAAACAATAGTACGCAAGTATAATGTCACGCCCTGGCTCTGGGGACTCTGAAATGTTGAGCCAGGGTGTGTAGTTTCTGTGTTATATTTTCTATGTTGATGTTCTAGATCGTTTAGATCTATGTTGGCCAGGGTGGTTCCCAATCAGAGGCAGCTGTATCTCGTTGTCTCTGATTGGGGACAATACTTAGGCAGCCTGTTTGGCACTAGTCGGTGTGGGATCTTGTTCCGTTAAGGTTTGTTTTGTGTAACCTAGGACTTCACGTTTCGTTTGTTGGTTGTTTTGTCGTGAGTTAAGTACTTAATAAAATGTACGCTTCTCACGCTGCGCCTTGGTCCGTATCTTCCATAAACGATCGTGACAGAAGATCCCACCAAAAGAGGACCAAGCAGCGTGTCCAGGAACAGACAGCCTGGACCTGGGAGGAGATCCTGGACGGGAAGGGATCCTGGACTTGGGAGGAGATTCAGGCCGGAATGGATCGCCGTCCTTGGGAGGAGACTGTGGAGGCGCGCTATAGAGAGGAGCAGCGGCAACGCAGAGGGTACCGGCCGAGGAGGAAGCCCGAGAGACAGCCCCAATCATTTTTTTGGGGGGGGCTAAAAGGGTCGTTGGCGGAGCCTAGTGTTAGAGCAGAGCCAACTCCCCATACTCAGGCTAGGAAGCGTGTGACTGGGCAGGCTCCGTGTTATGCGGAGCCACGTACTGTGCCGCGAGTGTTCCGGCACAGTCCTGTACGTCCTGTGCTAGCACCACGCACGTGTCGTGCAAAGATGGGCATTCAGCCAGGACGGGGTGTGCCTGCTCAACGCTTGTGGTCTCCAGTACGCCTCCTCGGTCCCGTATATCCTGCGCCAGTGCCCCGTACGTCCTGTGCTGATGCCTCACACGTATTGTGTGGAAGTAGGCATTCAGCCAGGACGGGTTGTGTCAGCTCTCCGCTCCAGACCTCCAGTCCGCCTCCACAGTCCGGCCCGGCCCGTTCCGGCCCGTTCCAGCTCCCCGCACCAAGCCAGTGGTGCGTGTTCCCAGTCCGGTCCGGCCTGTTCCTGCCCCTCGCGCCAAGCCAGTGGTGCGCGTCGCCAACCCGGTCCGGCCTGTTCCTGCCCCTCGCACCAAGCCACTGGTGCGCGTCGCCAGCCCGGTCCGGCCTGTTCCTGCCCCTCGCACCAAGCCAGTGGTGCGCGTCGCCAGCCCGGTCCGGCCTGTTCCTGCCCCTCGCACCAAGCCAGTGGTGCGCGTCGCCAGCCCGGTCCGGCCTGTTCCTGCCCCTCGCACCAAGCCAGTGGTGCGCTTCGCCAGTCCGGTACGGCCCGTTCCTGCTCCCCGCACCAAGGTTGAGCCACAGCCTTGAATGGGGCCCCTGGAGGCTCGGAGGTTGAGGTGTGTGATGACACAGATATCATGCCAAAGGTCTGGGTTAGGCTTGCCAATCGATAGGAGATTGTGCATCTCCACCATCAAATAGTCCTGGTACGCCAGTAGTAGGGACTTAACTTTCAACACCCGTACAGAACATGCGGCAGTCATGTAGACCTTTTGATAGATAGACACATAGAAGTGGTCCGTCTTACAGGAAGGAAATTGCCTGTCTTTGACAAGGCACTGGGGTTGAGGTGGTTGGGTAGTGACGGCTCGACCACCGGTGGCTTGTCGAGGCCCAGCTCCTCCATGTCCTTGACATTCATGTTGACAAAAAGTCTGGTTTGGACCTTGCCAGTCAAAGGTTTATCCTAATTGCGCTTGGCTTCTGCCACGCAAGCTGGGATGGCTGGGAGAAGTTGTTTGCCTGTTACATTGAGAGAGGGGAGTTTCCTCCCGTCGTACCAGTCCCTCTCTGCATTACCACCCCCCACGGGTTCGGGTCTGGTCAATGCCTGTTTGCAGATGTCAATGAGCGAATATCTGTCATCCGCCATTGATGCCTTGCTGAGGGCGGAAGAGGGCAGAGTGGCTTGCGCCTCCTCGTCGTCTTCTTCATCAGCTGCCTGGAGGAGGTTGGTCATACCCTCGCCATCGTCCTCATCGATAACGAGGTTTCCTTCCCTTTCCCCCTCCTCTGGGGCCAAGCCCTGGTCCTCAGGGAGCCATCCAATAAGTCAGACCCATTAGTGCTGAGCCTGCGAGGCAGTCTCACTGCTCGAGTTAAGAGTGGGAGACGAACCACGTTGGGCTGCTTTGCGCACTCTCCGGCGGAGCAAAAACCCTTTCACATATTCGGCACCCAGGCAGATGACACACAGGTAGTGAGTGTCCTTGCCAGAAATGGTCGCCCCACATAGGCATGGGTGTGTCGGTACTGGGGCAGGGGCCTGGTTTGGTGCCCCCTGGGCTGAGCTAGGCGGTTCCTTAGCTCCAGAAAACAGCTAATTTGAGAACAAAGTTAAATGTAACTAGTGTTTACCATTTGGGCTTGTAGCCTAGCTAGTTAGCACAGTGCTAGCACAAAGTTAGCCAAAGGAAGCTAGCGCTATGTTGGTTTTGTGACGATTAAAAGCGTGGCTCTCGACCGATAAGCAGTGACGCTAGGACGGTCGGTCTAGTTAACGTCGGTAGTGGGTTAAGCTAAACGAGAGGGCGAAATAGTAATTCTACCCTTCCAGATAGAAAAAACTGTCTTATGGAGAGCTAGCCAGGTTAGCTAAGCCTTGCAGCTAAGCTAACCAAGTCTCCGCAGCTAGCTGTGTGATGCTAGCTACAAAAGGAGACAAAGGAAGAAAAGCGGTGAAGCAAATTCTTACACAAACTTTTCCTTTTGGTAAAGTCACCCAACACAAAAGACGAGAGCTGAAAAATGCTGCGCTCGACGGCGTAACCTTGACGGCACACCTGTGAACAGTTAAACAGGAAAACAGATCAAGTTGTGCTGAGGAGAGCTAGGTAGAACTCTTCTGTGTGGAAGAGAAGCGAAAAGGATCAGAGGGCAGGTGGGTGGCTCTTTAGTATGAGGGGAAGGGCTCCCTCATTCGCCACTTGACCTGTTTGTCTCTGACAGACGTGTATGATTCTTTCTTCAAGCTACTTACGAGATTCTGGTGAATTCCACTAGTGAGATGTCGAAACGAATAATTGAAAGAGAACCACAACACATGAAACTGTATCTACTGTCCATTAGTTGTAACTCTCCATGGAAGATACTGTATATGATTTCTCTCTCTCTCGCTCTCTCTCTCTCTCTCTCTCTCTCTCTCTCTCTCTCTCTCTCTCTCTCTCTCTCTCTCTCTCTCTCTCTCTCTCTCTCTCTCTCTCTCTCTCTCTCTCACACACACACACACACAGGATATACTGTACGATAAAGACACACACACTTCTTTTGTTTGAATCCAATCACCTACATATCACACGCACACACACATTCTCAAACAAAGATGCACAGACAGACAGACACGCATTCACACACACTAACACACACACACACAAAGCTAGCACCACAATGCCGCCTATTTGGGTCTTCTCTTAAAATTGTGTTTTATTTAGCATAAATGTTGAAGCCAAGGGTACCCGGCTACCATGGCAACCAAATTAAACTGAGAATCTCTTCAGAAAACTGAAATGTAAATTATTCTGACCCTTTATGAAAAGAAAAATGAAACCGCTGCACAGTGTATGCAGACTGCTCTCCTTTGAAACAAAATGAGTTGGGGAAAAGATGAACAAAAACATGCCTGTTTTTATGTGTAAAACCATGAACAACAATACATGAACATGTAAACATTATGCAGATGACATACAATAATACAATCATATAACATATCATTCAGTATATCAGTATAATAATGTATCACATAACATAGTCGAAACACATCTTTGAAACCAGCTGCAATATGTATGTGTTTTATCATAACCCATTCCAATATGTTCCATCACAGAGCATAAGAGATCACTGTATAGAGAATTAGCTCTGAGACTAGTTCTTATCTGTTAAGTGATTATATACAGTATGTCAGGACTAAGGATAACGTTTAAGGAACACATGTCCATAAATATTGCATAGTGGGGTGATAGACTGTCGGCATGAGGATTATATTGTATTGAAACATGTTGATATATGATCATGTCTAATGGTATAGAATTCACAATGAACAGATTGTCTTTGGTTAAACCATTTATGATGCTGTTACTGTTCATATCATGTTGTACAGTGAGGGAAAAAAGTATTTGATCCCCTGCTGGTTTTGTACGTATGCCCACTGACGAAGACATGATCAGTCTATAATTTTAATGGTAGGTTTATTTGAACAGTGAGAGACAGAATAACAACAACAAAAATCCAGAAAAACGCATGTCAAAAATGTTATGAATTTATTTGCATTTTAATGAAGGAAATAAGTATTTGACCCCTCTGCAAAACATTACTTAGTACTTGGTGGCAAAACCCTTGTTGGCAATCACAGAGGTCAGACGTTTCTTGTAGTTGGCCACCAGGTTTGCACACATCTCAGGAGGGATTTTGTCCCACTCCTCTTTTCAGATCTTCTCCAAGTCATTAAGGTTTCGAGCCTGACGTTTGGCAACTCGAACCTTGAGCTCCCTCCACAGATTTTCTATGGGATTAAGGTCTGGAGACTGGCTAGGCCACTCCAGGACCTTAATGTGCTTCTTCTTGAGCCACTCCTTTGTTTCCTTGGCCGTGTGTTTTGGGTCATTGTCATGCTGGAATAGCCATCCACTACCCATTTTCAATGCCCTGGCTGAGGGAAGGAGGTTCTCACCCAAGATTTGACGGTACATGGCGCCGTCCATCGTCCCTTTGATGCGGTGAAGTTGTCCTGTCCCCTTAGCAGAAAAACACCCCCTAAGCATAATGTTTCCACCTCCATGTTTGACGGTGGGGATGGTGTTCTTGGGGTCATAGGCAGCATTCCTCCTCCTCCAAAGACAGCGAGTTGAGTTGATGCCAAAGAGCTCGATTTTGGTCGCATCTGACCACAACACTTTCCCCCAGTACTCCTCTGAATCATTCAGATGTTCATTGGCAAACTTCAGACGGGCCTGTATATGTGCTTTCTTGAGCAGGGGGACCTTGCGGGCGCTGCAGGATTTCAGTCCTTCACGGCGTAGTGTGTTACCAATTGTTTTCTTGATGACTATGGTCCCTGCTGCCTTGAGTTCTGGGCTGATTCCTCATCGTACTCATGATCATTGCAACTCCACGAGGTGAGATCTTGCATGGAGCCCCAGGCCGAGGGAAATTGACAGTTATTTTGTGTTTCTTCCATTTGCGAATAATCGCACCAACTGTTGTCACCTTCTCACCAAGCTGCTTGCCGATGGTCTTGTAGCCCATTCCAGCCTTGTGTAGGTCTACAATCTTGTCCCTGACATCCTTGGAGAGCTCTTTGGTCTTGGCCATGGTGGAGAGTTTGGAATCTGATTGATTAATTGCTTCTGTGGACAGGTGTCTTTTATACAGGTAACAAGCTGAGATTAGGAGCACTCCCTTTAAGAGTGTGCTCCTAATCTCAGCTCGTTATCTGTATAAAAGACACCTGTGAGCCAGAAATCTTTCTGATTGAGAGGGGTTCAAATACTTATTTCCCTCATTAAAATGCGAATCAATGTATAACATTTTTACATGCGTTTTTCTGGATTTTGTTGTTGTTATTCTGTCTCTCACTGTTCAAATAAACCTACCATTAAATTATAGACTGATAATTTCTTTGTCAGTGGGCAAACGTACAAAATCAGCAGGGGATCAAATACTTTTTTCCCTCACTGTATAGATGGATGATGTTTTAAACTACAGTTCATGAATTCCAAATTGTTGTACAGTCCTAAGAGTATTATATTATATAGTGGCATTCTCTCAACCAGCTTCACCTGGAATGCTTTTCCAACAGTCTTGAAGGAGTTCCCACATATGCTGAGTACTTGTTGGCTGCTTTTCCTTCACTCTGCGGTCCGACTCATCCCAGACCATCTCAATTGGGTTGAGGTCGGGGGATTGTGGAGGCCAGCTCATCTGATGCAGCACTCCATCACTCTCCTTCTTGGTAAAATAGCCCTTACACAGCCTGGAGGTGTGTTGGGTCATTGTCCTGTTGAAAAACAAATGACAGTCCCACTAAGCCCAAACCAGATGGGATGGCGTATCGCTGCAGAATGCTGTGGGAGCCATGCTGGTTAAGTGTGCCTTGAATTCTAAATAAATCACAGACAGTATCACCAGCAAAGCACCCCCACACCATAACACCTCCTCCTCCATGCTTTACGGTGGGAAATACACATGTGGAGATCATCCGTTCACCCACACCGCGTCTCACAAAGAAACGGTGGTTGGAACCAAAAATCTCCAATTTGGACTCCAGACCAAAGGAGTAATGTTCATTACTCGTGTTTCTTGGCCCAAGCAAGTCTCTTCTTATTATTGGGGTCCTTTAGTAGTGGTTTATTTGCAGCAATTCGACCATGAAGGCCTGATTCACACAGTCTCCTCTGAACAGTTGATGATGAGATGTGTCTGTTACTTGAACTCTGTGAAGCATTTATTTGGGCTGCAATTTCTGAGGCTGGTAACTCTAATGAACGTATCCTCTGTTGCAGAGGTAACTCTGGGTCTTCCTGTGGCGGTCCTCATGAGAGCCAGTTTCATCATAGTGCTTGATTGTTTTTGCGACTGCACTTGAAGAAACGTATTGACTGACCTTCATGTCTTAAAGTAATGATGGACTGTCGTTTCTCTTTGCTTATTTGAGCTGTTCTTGCCATAATAGGGACTTGGTCTTTTACCAAATTGGGCTATCTTCTGTATAGCCCCCTACCTTGTCAAAACACAACTGATTGGCTTAAATGCATTAAGAAGGACATAAATTCCACAAATTAACTATTAAGAAGGCACACCTGTTAATTGAAATGCATTCCAGGTGACTAGCTCATGAAACTGGTTGAGAGAATGCCAAGAGTGTGCAAAACTGTCATCAAGGTAAAGGGTGGCTATTTGAAGAATCTCAAATATAAAATATATTTATATTTGTTTAACACTTTTTTGGTTACTACATGATTCCATATGTGTTATTTCATAATTCATCCATAAGAGTCTTCACTGTTATTCCACAATATAAAAAATTATAAAAATAAAGAAAAACCCTTGAATGAGTAGGTGTGTCCAAACTTTTGACTGGTAATGTAGATACCAGATAGATAACTGTAACTGTCAAAAATATTGTGCACTATTACCAATACCACAGCCTAAAATGACATACCCTATTATGTGTGTTTCTTCGCGTTATTTGTAATTGATTCTGTACATAATGTTTCTGCCATCGTCTCTTATAACCAAAAAGAGCTTCTGGATATCAGGACAGCGATTACTCACCTCGTATTGGACGAAGATTTTTTCTTCAACGAGTCGGACGCGAAGGATATCCTACAGACACCCGACAAGGCCCAAATCCCCGTCATTCGCAGGAGAAAGAGGATCCGACGGCGAGCGAGTAAACTGCCTCTTCCATCAATCCTATTAGCCAATCTTCAATCATTGGAAAATAAATTAGATGACCTAAGAGTACGGTTATCCTACCAATGGGACATTAAAAACTGTATTATCTTATGTTTCACTGAGTCGTGGCTGAACGACGACATGGACAACATACAGCTAGCGGGCTGTACGCTACATCGGCAGGATAGAACGGCTGACTCTGGTAAGAAAAGGGGTGGCAGTCTGTGTATATTTGTAAACAACAGCTGGTGCACAAAATCAAATACTAAGGAAGTCTCTAGGTTTTGCTCGCCTGAGGTAGAATATCTTATGATAAGCTGTAGACCACACTATTTACCAAGAGAGTTTTCATCTATATTTTTCATAGCTGTCTATTTACCACCAGAAACCAATGCTGGCATTAAGATTGCACTCAATGAGCTGTATAAGGTCATAACTAAACAGGAAAACGCTCATCCAGAGGCAGCACTCCTAGTGGCCGGGTACTGTAATGCATGGAAATTCAAATCCGTTCTATCTAATTTCTACCAGCATGTTATATGTGCAACCAGAGGAAAAAAAACTCTAGACCACCTTTACTCCGCACACAGAGACATTTTTACATTTACATTTTAGTCATTTAGCAGACGCTCTTATCCAGAGCGACTTACAGTTAGTGAATACATATTTGTTTATACTGGCCCCCGTGGGAAGAGACGCATACAAAGCTCTCCCTCACCCTCCATTTGGCAAATCTGACCATAACTATATCCCCCTGATTCCTGCTTATAAGCAAAAACTAAAGCAGGAAGCACCAGTGACTCGGTTAATAAAAAAGTGGTCAGATGACGCAGATGCTAAGCTACAGGACTTTTGCTAGCACAGACTAGAACATGTTCCGGGATTCTTCAGATAGCATTGAGGAGTACACCACATCAGTCACTGGCTTCATCAATAAGTGCATCGATGACGTCTTCCCCACAGTGACCGTACGTACAACATCCGCACTGAGCTAAAGGGTAGAGCTGCCGCTTTCAAGGAGCGGGACTCTAACCCGGACGCTTATAAGAAATCCCGCTATGCCCTCCGATGAACCATCAAACAGGCAAAGAGTCAATACAGGACTAAGATTGAATCGTACTACACCGGCTCTGACACTCGTCAGATGTGGCAGGGCTTGAAAACTATTACAGACTACAATGGGAAGCACATCCACGAGCTGCCCAGTGACACAAGCCTACCAGACCAGCTAAACCACTTCTATGCTCACTTCGAGGCAAGCAACACTGAAGCATGCATGAGAGCACCAGCTGTTCCGGATGACTATGTGATCACACTCTCCGTAGCCGATGTGAGTAAGACTTTTAAGCAGGTCAATATTCACAAGGCTACAGGGCCAGACGGATTACCAGGACGTGTACTCCGAGCATGTGCTGACCAACTGGCAAGTGTCTTCACCGACATTTTCAACATGTCCCTGACTGAGTCTGTAATACCAACATGTTTCAAGCAGACCACCATAGTCCCTGTGCCCAAGGACACTAAGATAACCTGCCTAAATGACTACCGACCCGTAGCACTGACATCTGTAGCCATGAAGTGCTTTGAAAGGCTGGTCATGGCTCACATCAACACTATTATCCCAGAAACCCTAGACCCACTCCAATTTGCATACCGCCCCAACAGATCCACAGATGATGCAATCTCTATTGCACTCCACACTGCCCTTTCCCACCTGGACAAGAGGAACACCTACGTGAGAATGGTATTCATTGACTACAGCTCAGCATTCAACACCAAAGTGCCCTAAAAGCTCATCACTAAGCTAAGGATCCTGGGACTAAACACCTCCCTCTGCAACTGGATCCTGGACTTCCTGACGGGCCGCCCCCAGGTGGTAAGGGTAGGCAACATCACATCTGCCACGCTGATCCTCAACACGGGGGCCCCTCAGGGTTGCGTGCTCAGTCCACTCCTGTACTCCCTGTTCACCCATGAATGCATGGCCAGGCAAGACTCCAACACCATCATTAAGTTTGCCGACGACAAACAGTGGTAGGCCTGATCACCGACAACGATGAGCCAGCCTATAGGGAGGAGGTCAGAGACCTGGCTGTGTTGTGCCAGGATAACAACCTCTACCTCAACATGATCAAGACAAAGGAGATGATTGTGGACTACAGGAAAAAAAAGAGGACTGAGCACGCCCCCATTCTCATCGACGGGGCTGTAGTGGAACAGGTTGAGAGCTTCAAGTTCCTTTGTGTCCACATCACCAACAAACTATCATGGTCCAAACACACCAAGACAGTCATGAAGAGGGCACGACAAAGCCTATTCCCCCTCAGGAGACTGAAAAGATTTGGCATGGGTCCTCAGATCCTCAAAAAGTTCTACAGCTGCACCATCGAGAGCATCCTGACTGGTTGCATCACCGCCTGGTATGGCAACTGCTCGGCCTCCGACCACAAGGCACTACAGAGGGTAGTGTGTACGGCCCAGTACATCATTGGGGCCAAGCTTCCTGCCATCCAGGACCTCTATACCAGGCGGTGTCAGAGGAAGTCCCTCAAAATTGTCAAAGACTCCAGCCACCCTAGTCATAGACTGTTCTCTCTGCTACCGCACGGCAAGAGGTACTGGAGCGCCAAGTCTAGGTCCAAAAGACTTCTCAACAGCTTCTACCCCCAAGCCATAAGACTCCTGAACAGCTAATCACGACTACCCAGACTATTTGCACTGCCCCCTCACCCCCACCCCATCTTTTTACGCTGCTGCTACTCTGTTAATTACTCATGCATAGTCACTTTAACTCTACCCACATGTACATATTACCTCAACTAGCCGGTGCCCCCGCACATTGACTCTGCACCGGTACCCCTCTACATATAGCCTCCCTACTGTTATTTTATTTTACTTCTGCTCTTTTTTTTCAAAAAAAAATTTTTGTTGTTGTTTTATTTTACTTTTATTTAAAAAAGTAAATGCATTGTTGGTTGAGGGCTGTAAGTAAGCATTTCACGGTAATGTCTACACCTGTTGTATTCGGCGCATGTGGCAAATAACATTTTATTTTATTTTATTTGTAGCTCAGGACCTGAAGCAAGTATATGCATATTCTTGATACCATTTGAAAGGAAACACTTTGAAGTTTGTGGAAATTTGAAATGAATGTAGGAGAATATAGCACATTTGATCTGGTAAAAGATAATGATGTTCCACCATCTTTGAAATGCAAGAGAAAGGCCACAATATAATTTAGCTGTTTAGATGTTTGGCCAAATTATCCACAGTTAGGCTACGTGTCCTTGACAACCTCTTAAGGATCGGACCCTTTTTTTCAATTTTCACCTAAAATGACATACCCAAATCTAACTGCCTGTAGCTCAGGACCTGAAGCAAGGATATGCATATTCTTGATACCATTTGAAAGGCAACACTTTGAAATGTGTGGAAATGTAAAATTAATGTAGGAGAATATAACACATTAGATCTGGTAAAAGATAATACAAACAAAAGAACATGCATTTAAAAAAAAATTGTTTTGTTCCATCATCTTTGAAATGCAAGAGAAAGGCCATAATATGATATAGGAGTTTACGTGCAATTTAGAATTTGGCCACGAGATGGAGGCAGTGTGTGTGCAAAGTTTCAGATTGATTCAGTGAAGCATTGCAATACTGGACTATTTTGTATCAAGACTGCCCAAATGTGCCGAATTGGTCAATTTATACATTTTCAAGTACATAACTATAGAGAACATACAAAAATTATATGGTAATACACAATGTAAGTTTACATACTCCCAGGAATGTCATACATGATGGATCATTAGCTTATACACTAACTTTCACACATCTAGATGGCCGAGCAGGGTTGGTGTGGAGCCAGAGACAGCAGGGGTTCAAACTGTAGAACCCAGTTCCTACATTTGAATATAAAAATTGATTTTATCAAACAAAACTATGCTACATTTTATCTCTGGGACCCTTAGGATGACAAATCAGAGCACGATTACTGAATCTAAGTACATTATTTACCTTCAGAGGTGAATGTATCAAACCAGTTGCCGTGATAAGTTTTTTGTTCTTGTGCACTCTCCCCAAACAATAGCATGGTATTTTTTCACTGTAATAGCTACTGTAAATTGGATAGTGCAGTTAGATTAACAAGAATTTAAGCTTTCTGCCCATATAAGACAGTCTATGTCCTGGAAAGTTTGCTGTTACTTACAACAGTCTTGCTAATCACATTAGCGCACGTTAGTTCAACCGTCCTGTATACGGGACACCGATCCCGTAGAGGTTAATATCTAACTGAGGATAGACAGTATATTAGGAGGGTTGTGTTTGGCTGAAGTGTGATTACTGTAGGACTGGTCCTAGAAGTGTGGACATGTTCCATCTGTAGCCCCGCCTGTAGAGAGGATGTTGGGTAAACAGGTCAAGGTTCATTCTCTTATCCAATGTGCAGATGAGTGGAAGGAGATGGGGGTCAGAGGTCTCTCTCTCTCCTCCACTCCTCCTCCCTCTGTTCTCCCTCTCTCTCACACACACACACACACACACACACACACAGACACACATACATACAAACACACACGCAGTACAAACTGCGGATCTATTTTATTGATTGACTCCTGTGCCTGCTCGGCTGCCCACTGGAGGAGGGGGCAGGGCTCTAATGAATACCTCCACCCCGTGCTCCCTACGTCAAGCCCTACTCCCCCACCTTAATTAACTTTGTGTGTGTGTGTGTTCTCTGCCTGTGCCTCCTCTTCAATTGCCCCCCTTTCTTCATAACTAGCTGTTCCTCAAGCCTTTTACACTGGAAAGACTCTCTTGTACTTCACTTTCTCTCTTCCTTTCTCTCTCTGTCTCTGTGTGAGGTGCCAGTGTGTAAATCATGCATAGCAAATCCATGAATCCATTCCTCAGTCGTTCAGTACGTACTGTATGTGTCAATCAAATAATTGATTTAAAGACGAGGCAATCCAGGTAACTTATTGCAGATCAGACGATCCCGCCCCACATACAGTACCTCTAGTATTCAGTAACTTTGTCAAGGACAGCTTGACAAAGAGGGGTCCGAGGATGACTACAGGACAGAAATAACACACTTCACCGGATGGTGCAAGGAAAACAGACTAATTCTTAATGTAAAAAAAAAAGAAAGGAAATGTCAATAAACTTCAATACTATAAAAGACGACACCGGGCCCATCCCCATTGACTCAGAACAAATATAATCAGTTGAGCAACACAAATACAGTATCTTGGAACTATAATTGACTCAAAACTCTCCTGGACTGCAAACACACAACAGATATAAAAAAATGGACAACGACTGTATTTCATGAGGAGATAAAATAAATATCAGGTCAATAAAAGAATAACAACCATATTCTACACATCCTTTGTTCAGTGCTCTCACTTTCTCTTTCCAAGCCTAGTACAATCAGCTATCCATCGCAAATAAAAACCAGCTACACAAAATAGTAAAGCTGTCAAGCAAAATCAGTGGAGTTAATCTGAAGAACATGGAAGAGCTGTTCTTGGAGAGAGTGGTGAGGGCAGGAGCGATAATTGCCAGCGACCTGACACCCACTCAACCAGGAGTACCAGCTCCTACCATCAGGCTGCCGATACAGTCCATCTTTACAAAACCGCCAGAGCCCAGCAATCATTCATTCCCACCAGTCAATCGAATAAATAACTGCTCAACCCCCCCTCCCCCCCAGTATTTACGAACTGAATTACTAACTGTATCCACATGTGTTGTCTGCTGTAGTTATTGCTTGTGATTTATGTATGTGTTTATTTATTTATGCACCTATTGGTGATGCTGTGCTGTTGTTTGTTGAGATGCAAAACAAATTTCCCGAAAGGGACACACAATAAATAATAATAATTATTATTATTGACCCCAAAGCGTCTCTCAGACTGACCCCCCACAATAGTATGGCATTGGTTGAAGCTCAAAGTTAAATTCCTACCATAATTTCTAAGCCAATATGACACCAATGTCGATGGAAATTCGCAAATCAACTTGATTGGAGCTACAGAACACACTCTCCACCTCTCGTGATGAGCCATCCAGTCGTTACCGAGAACCACATACCGGATGGATTTTTAACAGGGTCATTAGCAATTGAGTATTTTCTGCACCCACCGATATCAAATTCTAGATGTCGGATTAAAACAAAATTATAGCGTCCATAAAGTGACCATTGGAAATAAAAAATGGCAGATTAACTAAATGTATAGGTGCAACAGTTTTTATTACATTTAAAATGTATCGCTCTCACATGCTCATTTCTGTCCACTAAGAACCAATGATGTGCTACCTTTTTGTAGCGTTTCTGACAATGCTAACATCTTTCAGCAGAATCTCAAAGTTCTAAAACCGTGACCAGCACCTCGGTTGCTGCGCAACAGCTAGCTAGTAGCAGGCTAGCAGCTGCATTTAGCTAGCTAACACCAGTCGGATGAGAAGCAAGCTACAAGCAAAGGAAGCTAGCTAGCTAGATATATTTAGCTATGGAAGGTTTTACATATGGCTGAAGTCATTTGTGTAAACTAAATTAGAGCACAAACAAATAAGGTAGTGAATGTCCTTGGCTGCTATTATAGCCAGTTATTTAGCCAAATAGCCAGTAGCCACAAGCCAATGAGACTGTAACATATCTGTATAGATCGTGAACCACAACTCAATGTTGACAATATATCCTAGCTAGCTACATTCTTCCATAAAGCATAGCTAGCTAGCTAAGTAAAGTTCATAGTCAACACCAAACTTTGGGAAACTGTCACACTTCTAACTTATAATACATGCAATGGGCATTGCTCATCTAGCTACTCAGGCATGATACAGTCAAACTGGCTCGATAGCTACGTTTGCAGCCAGATGTCAGTTTCAGCACAAACAGCTGCTAGCTAGCTTACATTTCCTCAGCCAAGACCAGCCTCTCACAACTGTAGCTGATAAAATGAATTGCCTTGCAAAGAAACAGTTAGGTATGTTGAATCTAAACCATGCCAATGCACATGCAAGTAGCGCATCGGCTGTGTATTGCAGTGAGTGTACACATGTTAGCTAGCTAGCTAATTAGCTAGATCAACACACAAGAAAAACATGTTTTTTCTGGACGTTGAAAATACGTATTTTCCGGACGTTGAAATCAGGTTTATTTTCGATTCTGAATAAATGTTGAAAATACTTTCTCTACTTTAATTTTACTGTACTGTAATGTACTGCACTCTGCTGTGCTCTACTGCAGTGGTTCTCAAAGATCTCCTTGGGGACCCCCAGACATTTCGCAATTTTGCTGTAGCTCTGAACTAGCTATTCATTGTTTTTATTTTTACATTTTAGTCATTTAGCAAACACTCTTATCCAGAACAGTTAGTGCATTCATCTTAAGATAGCTAGGTGAGATTCAAGAGCTTGAGGATTAGTTGACAAGTTTAATTAGGTGTGCTAGCACTGGAATAAATCAATTACATAGAACGGCCTGGGGTCCTCATGGAGAGGTTTGAGAACCACTACTCTACTGTACTTGACCGGACCAAATCTAAACCAAACAAAGACGTCTATGTTTGGGCCAAATCAAGGCCAGTCCGGATCGGATCAAATCTAAACCAAACATAGACGTCTATTATTAGTTCAGATTTGGTCTGGACCGGATTCCCAAAAAACACGCCACTTCGATACAGCTACGACCTTTTCATAGGAGGTTAAGAGAACTTACGCAGCAGGTTAGGAGAATTTACATAGCAGTTCAGGAGAATTAGGTTAAGGTTAGACAAAGGGTTAGGGTTAGCGAAAATGCTCTCCTAACCTGCTACGAAAAGTCACTTGTATCGAAGTGCCATGTTTTTAGGGATTCCCGTCCGTGGACGTTGAAATCAACGCCGGTCCAGACCGCACCAAAAACAGAAGTCCGGACCTAAAAAAGACTTCCAAAAGACATTACCACAAAAATTCCTGCAGTTTTTTACTTGTTGATTGCTACTTCCCACTAAGGGGGCCTTAGTGGGAAGTAGCAATCAACAAGTAAAAAACTGCAGGAATTTTTGGTCAGATTTCTTTCCTAATGCTCACTCAGCCAACTTATTCAGTTCTTTGATAGTCACTTACAGGAACTGGTATGTGCTTAATGTAAAGCAGCTGTTGATATTCATCCCCCTCCCTTCTGTAAAGGGAGGATCGATATGTTTTGCATAAATGCAATAGCCATGTCTATGAAGTAATAGCCAGGGCCCAGTTTCCCGTTAGCGATGGAACTTAAGATTACAACTGTTTTAACATTGTATCGTTTCTATAACAGCCGAAGAACTCACATGCGTTTCCCAAAACACCATGTAAAGAGAACTTTCAATAAGTGCGTCGTTAGAGTATGTGTCAATACTGATAGGATCGAAAGAAAGGCAGGGCTGCTATCGGATCAGGGTTCTCCATTCAAATCTTACCTCAACATTAGATACTGACGACGGATCAGCTCCTAGAGAGATGCTTAGGCTATGCATTAAATCAATTTGGCACATCATTGCGCATATGTTGTTAACCCTACACATCATGAAATTGAGGCAAAAATTACAGACAGTAGCCTACGATTAGCAAAATAGAACTCAATTGATTGAACATGAAATTGATTTCAATATGATTGAAATACACACTCAGTTGCCACGGAAATGGATCGCTCCTACAGATAGTGAGTCACGTGACCATGGCTTGCTATATAAAGCAGGCAGACAGGCATTGAGGCATTCAGTTACTGTTCGATTGAATGTTAGAATGAGCAAAACGAGTGACCTAAGCGACTTTGAGCGTGGTATGATCTCAGAAACGGCCGCCCTCCTGGGCTTTTCACGCACAACAGTGTCTAGGGTTTACCGAGAATGGTGCGACAAACAAAAAACATCCAGTCCTGTGGACGAAAAGGTTGAAGGAGAATGGCAAGAATCGTGCAAGCTAACAGGTGGGCCACAAAAAGGAAAATAACGCAGTACAACATTGATGTGCAGTTCGGCATCTCAGAATGCACAACTATTCGATCCTTGTCACAAATGGGCTATTGCAGCAGACGACCACACCGGGTTCCACTCCTATCAGCTAAAAACAAGAAGAATCTGCTCCAGTGGGCACGCGATCCGCCACGCTGGACTATTGAGGCATGGAAAAACATTGCCTGGTCCGACGAATCCCGGTCCTGTTGAGTCATGCTGATGGCAGAGTTAGGATTTGGCGTAAGCAGCATGAGTCCATGGACCCATCCTGCCTGGTGTCAACGGTACAGGCTGGTGGTGGTGGTGTTCTTATGTGGGGAATGCTTTCCTGGCACACGTTAGGTCCCTTGGTACCAATTGAGTAGCAATTGACCACCATATCTGAACATTGTTGCTGACCAAACCCAATAGAGCATCTTTGGTAGCGAATGTCCTTGGCTGTTCGCAGCATGAATATACCGCCGTCCAATCTGCAGCAACTGTGTGATGCCATCATGTCTGCATGGACCAACATCCCTGTGGAACATATCCAACACCTTGTAGAATCCATGAAGAATCCATGCAAGAATTCAGGCTTTTCTGGAGGCAAAGGGGGGTCCGACCGGTACTAGATGTGGGTACCTAATAAACAGACCACTGAGTGTATAGGCCTATGTTAGAGGTCTACACGGGTACAACAGACCCGAAATTCAGAGTTTTGTCTCGGATCTGGGTCGGGTCTGATATCATTGCCAGAGGTCTCGGTTATGTGCAATTAAAATGAATTTACATGCAGAATCCGATTGGACCTGTCCTCTGTTAATTTACTGTTTGTGTGATGAGAACTGCGTGAGCTTGGTATCTGTGTCAGCCAATTGCAACTCAATAAAATGTATAGCTTAAAATGTGAGCAGCACCGCCTCCTCAAGATTCTGAGCCTGCCTGGCAGGGTTGGTTCTACAAAGCCAGAGCCCCCTGATGGGAGAACATAATATACAAGGAAATTCTCAAAGCTGCTAATGAGAACCTTGACAACCTTGTACCTAGCCGGTGGGGATTCTGGTGGGGTACCCCTACCCATGTAGTGGCAGTGCTGGCAACACTGGCTGCAGTAACCCATGTGGAGGGGGTCACACTCTGACAATCAGAGAGGGGGCATATTATTGTGGCCCTGGTGGCACCAAATAATCAAGGTTCTGACTGCACGGAGATGCTTGGGGAAAATGGTTACAACGGGGGACCAGAGTGTTTGTTTCTCAGGGGAAGAGGGTGGATCTGATCTCCATCATCTAGGACTTGACATAGATTAATCAAATCTCACATTGTTGTCAATTTTTTCTCAATCTTACATGCATTGTCAAACAGCTGTAACTGTATACACATTTGTAAATCAGGTCCTTTCTTGAGTTGGACTCTGGGATGTAACAACCGTTGAGCATCTGATCTTATGGTTGATTGTGGAGGAAAGGGGTTGAGTGTGTTAGAGTATGTGCGCGTGTGTGTGTGTGTGTGTGTGTGTGTGTGTGTGTGTGTGTGTGTGTGTGTGTGTGTGTGTTTATCCCACATCTGTTGCAAGGGGGTAAGGATGTTAGGGAGAATATAGGATGAACCACAATAATTGTTTGCTAAAATAATAATTGCTTGACAAAAATGTAATGTAATACAATGGCAATCCGGGTTAACTGCCAACATTATTACGCACATTAATTGATAATGATGGAAATTAAGATTTGCAAGAAATTTGAATAGATATATATTTTTAAATAGCTATATATATATTGAGGTGAGATCATTGGAAATGCTTTTGGCGGTTGACCTGCTTCTGTTTTGTGGGTGGAACTGTGTGGTGTTTTCGATGGATGGGTCCTGGCCTCTCGGGGGCCTAGGGATCCGGGGGGACGGGGATGGTATGCCAATCACTGGGATGACGGCCCAACTTGGGATGGAGAGGGGCTTTAGCGGGGGGAATAGTGGAGAACAATTGGAGGGTTACTTAGTAGTAATGCAAATATCATGGTACAGCTATATGGACACTCAATAACTATGATATTTTTTATTGGTAAATTTACAAACATATATAATGATAAATAGATTTGAAACTTGTATCTCATTATGGTATGTGGTGAAATAAGTATAGCCAGTTATAATTGTAATGGCTTAGCAGATAATAACAAAAGAATAACAATATTTACATGGCTGAAAGAGAAGGAATATAATATACAGCTGTGGAAAAAATTAAGAGACCACTGCAAAATTATCAGTTTCTCTGGTTTTACTATTTATAGGTATGTGTTTGGATAAAAATTACATTTTTGTTTTATTCTATAAACTACTGACAACATTTCTCCCAAATTCCAAATAAAAATATTGTCATTTAGAGCATTTATTTGCAGAAAATGACAACTGGTCAAAGAAAATAAGTTCATGTTCATTTTTAAACAACACAATACTAATGTTTTAACTTAGGAAGAGTTCAGAAAACAATATTTGGTGGAATAACCCTGATTTTCAATCACAGCTTTCATGCGTCTTGGCATGCTCTCCACCAGTCTTTCACATTGATGTTGGGTGACTTTATGCCACTCCTGGCGCAAAAATTCAAGCAGCTCTGCTTTGTTTGATGGCTTGTGACCATCTATCTTCCTCTTGATCACATTCCAGAAGTTTTCAATGGGGTTCAGGTCTGGAGATTGGGCTGGCCATGACAGGGTCTTGATCTGGTGGTCCTCCATCCACACCTTGATTGACCTGGCTGTGTGGCATAGCACATTGTCCTGCTGGAAAAAACAATCCTCAGAGTTGGGGAACAATGTCAGAGCAAAAGGAAGCAAGTTTTCTTCCAGGACAACCTTGTACGTGGCTTGATTCATGCGTCCTTCACAAAGACAAATCTGCCCGATTCCAGCCTTGCTGAAGCACCCCCAGATCATCACCGATCCTCCACCAAATTTCACAGTGGGTGCGAGAAACTGTGGCTTGTAGGCCTCTCCAGGTCTCCGTCTAACCATTAGACGACCAGGTGTTGGGCAAAGCTGAAAATTGGACTCATCAGAGAAGATGACCTTACTCCAGTCCTTTACGGTCCAATCCTTATGGTCTTTTGCAAACCTCAGCCTCGCTCTTCTTTGCACGACTTCAGCCCTACCCCTAGGAGCCTGTTTCAAACCGTCCTCGCTGTGCACTTCACCTCAGCTGCCGTTTGCCATTCTTTTTGTAGGTCACTTGATGTCATCCTACGGTTGATGAGTGACATTCGAATGAGTTGGCGGTCATCCCGGTCAGTAGAGAGTCATTTTCGCCCTCTGCCGGTCTGTAGCTTTGTTGTCCCCAATGTCTGCTGCTTGACCTTGTTCTTATGAACCGCCGTCTTTGAAATTTTAAGGATGGAAGCAACCTGACACTCACTGTATCCCTCTGCCAGTAAAGCCAGAATTGAACCCTTCTTTTCCTCACTAAAAACTTTCCTTTTCAACTCTTTTGGCATGGTCAATAGTTATTTTTTGATTAATATTACTTTTGAGGTACTATTAGCACTGTTTTTACCATCCAGCTGGTCCTATTGCAAGAGGATAGTGATGACCACAGCAGTGGTTTTTATACTTTTCCTTGTTAAATAAGATTTGGTTCATGTGATCACCTAATCAGTACCTAATTCAGTAGAATGAGGTGTGCCTGTGTTGGAATTCAACAGACTGGAATGGATTGGCTGTCATACATTTATATATTTTTTTGCAGTGGTCTCTTAATTTTTTCCACAGCTGTATATTGTTTACAGGAAACTCATTCAACAATTCGAGAAATATACTACTCCCATGGGCAAAGAAACTCAAAAGGGGTGATGATATTAATTAACAGTAATTTCCATTCGAATGTGCAAATTGTCCAAACAGATCGGACCAAATAATGATGATCCACACTTCTTTGACAATATATTTAATAAATTATCAACCCTGCAAGCAATACAAGACTCTATTATTATGGTGGGAGATTATAATACTGTTTTAAATAGCTCAATGGACCGTAAAGGAAATCACACTACAAACTATCACCCTCATGCTCTTAAGGAAATAGTGAATGTCATGGATACATTAGAACTAGTAGATATATGGAGGCTTAAATATCCTGACCTAGTGAGATATACATAGCAGAGACTCAATCAAGCTAGTCATCTTGATTTCTTTCTTATGTCATTCTCGTTGGCACCAAAAGTTAAAAAAGTGTTGATAGGGGACAGAATGCGGTTGGACCATCATATAATTGGCATATACATTACTCTTACTGAATTTCCACGTGGGCGAGGGTATTGGAAATTTAATCAAAGCCTATTGGATGATAACTTGTTTTTAACTAGGACAGAGGAATTTTTTAACTGTTTTTTCCGACATAACATAGGTACAGCAAATCGACCTTATTGTATGGGACACTTTTAAATGTGCCTTTAGAGGCCATGCAATTCAGTACTCATCTCGAAAACAAAAGCAATTTAGGTCAAAAGAGTCCATACTAACAAAGGAAATAGAAGGTCTAACAGATAGATAGCAATAAAAACTGTAACATATAGGCTCAGAATAAATTAGAGGAAAAACAAAAAGAAATGGAGAAACTTATTCTAAAGCAAACTGGATGGAATATGGGGGAAAATCACCTAATTATTTTTTAATCTTCAACATAGAAATGCTACCAAAAATAATTTCATGAAACTGGTTACAAATGACGGAGTCACCCATGATTCACCAAAGGATATTTTGAAGGAGGAAGCAAAGTACTTTAAGCATATGTTTTTGTTTCAGTCGCCTCCATCTCCTCTAACTGAAGCTAATTGTAGATATATTTTTTTTCTATTGATAATGTAAAATTAACAGCCATACAGAAAGACTCATGTGGAGGTGAAATTACAGAGGAGGAACTTCTGGATGCAATTAAAGGCTTTTAGTCCGGGAAAACTCCAGGGTTGGATGGCATAACAGTTGAGGTATTCCAAACCTTTTTTGATATACTCAGATGACCATTATTAGCATGTTTTAACCACTCCTATGTAAATGGTAGATTATCAGACACTCAAGAAGCAGGTCTGATTTCATTATTACTGAAACAGGATACAAGTGGAAAATATAAAGATCCAGTCAATTTAAAAAGTTGGAGGCCCCTTACACTTCAGTGTTGTGATGCAAAAATTATAGGAAAATGTATAGCACATAGAATTAAAAAGGTATTATCGGACATTATTCATTCTAATCAGACAGGTTTTTTACATGGATGATACATTGGAGATAATATAAGGAAAGTACTGGAAACAATAGAACACTATGAAAAATCTGGGAAACCAGGCCTGCTATTCATAGCAGACTTTGAAAAGGCATTTGATAAAGTATGACTGGGGTTGATATATAATTGCCTGCAGCATTTGAATTTTGGAGAATCTCTTATGAAATGGGTTAAAATCATGTATAGTAACCCTAGGTGTAAAATAGTAAATAATGGCTATTTCTCAGAAAGTTTTAAACTGTCAAGAGGAGTGAAACAAGGTTGTCCACTATCGGCATATCTATTTATTATGCCCATCGAAATGTTAGCTATTAAAATCAGATCCAACAATAGTATCAAGGGATTAGAAATCCAGGGCTTAAAAACAAATGTGTCATTGTACGCTGATGATTCATGTTTTCTTTTAAATCCACAACTAGAATCCCCCCACAGCCTCATAGAAGATCTAGATACATTTTCTAACCTCTCTGGATTACAACCAAATTATGATAAATGTACTATATTACGTATTGGATCGCTAAAAAATACAATGTTTACATTACCATGTACAGTGGGGAAAAAAAGTATTTAGTCAGCCACCAATTGTGCAAGTTCTCCCACTTAAAAAGATGAGAGAGGCCTGTAATTTTCATCATAGGTACACGTCAACTATGACAGACAAATTGAGGAAAAAAAATCTAGAAAATCACATTGTAGGAGTTTTTATGAATTTATTTGTAAATTATGGTGGAAAATAAGTATTTGGTCACCTACAAACAAGCAAAATTTCTGGCTCTCACAGACCTGTAACTTCTTCTTTAAGAGGCTCCTCTGTCCTCCACTCGTTACCTGTATTAATGGCACCTGTTTGAACTTGTTATCAGTTTAAAAGACACCTGTCCACAACCTCAAACAGTCACACTCTAAACTCCACTATGGCCAAGACCAAAGAGCTGTCAAAGGACACCAGAAACAAAATTGTAGACCTGCACCAGGCTGGGAAGACTGAATCTGCAATAGGTAAGCAGCTTGGTTTGAAGAAATCAACTGTGGGAGCAATTATTAGGAAATGGAAGACATACAAGACCACTGATAATCTCCCTCGATCTGGGGCTCCACACAAGATCTCACCCCATGGGGTCAAAATGATCACAAGAATGGTGAGCAAAAATCCCAGAACCACACGGGGGGACCTAGTGAATGACCTGCAGAGAGCTGGGACCAAAGTAACAAAGCCTACCATCAGTAACACACTACGCCGCCAGGGACTCAAATCCTGCGGTGCCAGACGTGTCCCCCTGCTTAAGCCAGTACATGTCCAGGCCCATCTGAAGTTTGCTAGAGTGCATTTGGATGATCCAGAAGAGGATTGGGAGAATGTCATATGGTCAGATGAAACCAAAATAGAACTTTTTGGTAAAAACTCAACTCGTCGTGTTTGGAGGACAAAGAATGCTGAGTTGCATCCAAAGAACACCATACCTACTGTGAAGCATGGGGGTGGAAACATCATGCTTTGGGGCTGTTTTTCTGCAAAGGGACCAGGACGACTGATCCGTGTAAAGGAAAGAATGAATGGGGCCATGTATCGTGAGATTTTGAGTGAAAACCTCCTTCCATCAGCAAGGGCATTGAAGATGAAACGTGGCTGGGTCTTTCAGCATGACAATGATCCCAAACACACCACCCGGGCAACGAAGGAGTGGCTTCGTAAGAAGCATTTCAAGGTCCTGGAGTGGCCTAGCCAGTCTCCAGATCTCAACCCCATAGAAAATCTTTGGAGGGAGTTGAAAGTCCGTGTTGGCCAGCGACAGCCCCAAAACATCACTGCTCTAGAGGAGATCTGCATGGAGGAATGGGCCAAAATACCAGCAACAGTGTGTGAAAACCTTGTGAAGACTTACAGAAAACGTTTGACCTGTGTCATTGCCAACAAAGGGTATATAACAAAGTATTGAGAAACTTTTGTTATTGACCAAATACTTATTTTCCACCATAATTTGCAAATAAAATCATAAAAAATCCTACAATGTGATTTTCTGTTTTTTTTTCCTCATTTTGTCTGTCATAGTTGACGTGTACCTATGATGAAAATTACAAGCCTCTCTCATCCTTTTAAGTGGGAGAACTTGCACAATTGGTGGCTGACTAAATACTTTTTTTCCACACTGTAGTTTACCAATAAAATGGTCTGATGGTGATGCTCGGAAAACATATCCCAAATGAAATAAATGATCTCACTCCAATACATTTTAATAGAAAGTTAGCAAAAATATTCTTGCTACTATGGAAAGGTAAATACCTGTCAATTTGTGGAAAAATCACCCTGATTAACTCTTTAGTATTATCCCAGTTTACCTATTTGCTCATGGTCTTGCCTACGCCTAGCGAACAGTTTTTTAAATTCTATGAGAAAAATATATAAAATTTTATTTGGAACGGCAAGCCAGACAAAATTAAATGGGCCTATTTATATAATTAATATGAATTCGGAGGACAGAAATTATTAAATATTAAAGCATAAGACCTATCACTAAAAGCTTCAGTCATACAAAAGTTATACTTAAATCCGAACTGGTTCTCTAGCAAATTAGTAAAATTGTCTCACCCAAAAAAGGATATGTGTGTGTGTATGGATGTATGCATGTATATATATATGTGTGTGTATGTGTGTGTATGTATGTGTATGTGTGTATGTGTATGTATGTATAAGTGGGGGAAAAAAGTATTTAGTCAGCCACCAATTGTGCAAGTTCTCCCACTTAAAAAGATGAGAGAGGCCTGTAATTTTCATCATAGGTACACGTCAACTATGACAGACAAATTGAGAATTTTTTTTCCAGAAAATCACATTGTAGGATTTTTAATGAATTGATTTGCAAATTATGGTGGAAAATAAGTATTTGGTCACCTACAAACAAGCAAGATTTCTGGCTCTCACAGACCTGTAACTTCTTCTTTAAGAGGCTCCTCTGTCCTCCACTCGTTACCTGTATTAATGGCACCTGTTTGAACTTGTTATCAGTATAAAAGACACCTGTCCACAACCTCAAACAGTCACACTCCAAACTCCACTATGGCCAAGACCAAAGAGCTGTCAAAGGACACCAGAAACAAAATTGTAGACCTGCACCAGGCTGGGAAGACTGAATCTGCAATAGGTAAGCAGCTTGGTTTGAAGTATTCAACTGTGGGAGCAATTATTAGGAAATGGAAGACATACAAGACCACTGATAATCTCCCTCGATCTGGGGCTCCACGCAAGATCTCACCCCGTGGGGTCAAAATGATCACAAGAACGGTGAGCAAAAATCCCAGAACCACACGGGGGGACCTAGTGAATGACCTGCAGAGAGCTGGGACCAAAGTAACAAAGCCTACCATCAGTAACACACTACGCCGCCAGGGACTCAAATCCTGCAGTGCCAGATGTGTCCCCCTGCTTAAGCCAGTACATGTCCAGGCCCGTCTGAAGTTTGCTAGAGTGCATTTGGATGATCCAGAAGATGATTGGGAGAATGTCATCTGGTCAGATGAAACCAAAATAGAACTTTTTGGTAAAAACTCAACTCGTCGTGTTTGGAGGACAAAGAATGCTGAGTTGCATCCAAAGAACACCATACCTACTGTGAAGCATGGGGGTGGAAACATCATGCTTTGGGGCTGTTTTTCTGCAAAGGGACCAGGACGACTAATCCGTGTAAAGGAAAGAATGAATGGGGCCATGTATCGTGAGATTTTGAGTGAAAACCTCCTTCCATCAGCAAGGGCATTGAAGATATTCTGATAGAAAATGAACGACTTCTGTATGCCTGTATCTGTATAGCACTAGTAGCCTATCTGACAAGTATAAAGAAATCCATGTCAATGTCGGGAACATGGCGCCAGCATATCTCTATCTTTCTCTCGGTCTATCTGAGGCTAGGCCTAAACTTGGCCCCCCTAATATTTGTTTTTTAAATATAAATATCATACAGTGGACACCTAGGCTATGCGTACAGTATATGCTTGCAATGCCCTGATACATTTAGCACTAAAATCTCTGACAGCTAAACCATGAGGTAGACAATTATTGTTTTAGGAAAGTAAAAACCAATAAAACAACAGACTATAAAGTTTTGAATTTGCTACACATCGAAACACAATGAATAGTTTTTTTCTTATTTCTTAGTGGCAGTGTTTAACCTCTACAGGATCGATGTTCCTATACCAGGACAATTGTTGCTAATGTGCGCTAATGTGACTAGAATGACGTTGTAAGTAACAGCAAACTTTCCAGGACATAGACATGTCTTATATGGTCAGAAAGCTTAAATCTAACTGCACTGTCCAATTTACAGTAGCTATTACAGTGAAAAAATACAATTTTTATATTCAAATGTAGGAACTGGGTTCTACAGTTTGAACCCCTGCTGTCTCTGGCTCCACACCCACCCCGCCCGGCCATCTAGATGTGTGAAAGTTAGTATATAAGCTAATGATCCATCATGTATGACATTCCTGGGAGTGTGTAAACTTACATTTTGTATTACCATATCATTTTTGTATGTTCTCTATAGTTATGTACTTGAAAATGTATCAATTGACCAATTCGGCACATTTGGGCAGACTTGATACAAAATATTGTGCAGTATTGCAATGCTTCACTGGATCAATCTGAAACTTTGCACACACACTGCTGCCATCTCGTGGCCAAATTCTAAATTGCGCCTAAACTCCTATATGATATTATGGCCTTTCTCTTGCATTTCAAAGATAATGGAACAAACAAATAAATAGAAAACCGCTCAGAGATTTACCGATTCCTTTATGATGCTTCTGGGAAACCAGGCCCTGGACAATAAATAATGTGAGAGAAAACATATTACATTTGAAGCGCAAATTACATGACCTTTTGCATGTGGAAATGTTGTATGATTTTGTATAATCACCTCCCGGTGTAAAAACCATGGAAATTAAAAACTAAAAATAATGTTTTAAGTGAGAAGTAGGGATAGGTCTGAAGCTCCCCGAAAAAAAGGAAATTCACATGAGCGCCACAATGCCTACTCCACCCATGCTCTACCAAGGTTTTCCAGCCACACAGCTTTGATCTACTACAGTAGCTACAGTGCATTCGGAAAGTATTCAGACCCCTTCCCTTTTTCCACATTTTGTTACGTTACAGCCTTATTCTAAAATGGATTTAAAAAAAAAATCCTCATCAATCTACACACAATACTCCATATTGACAAAAAATAAAACAGGTTTTTAGAGAAAAAACAGAAATACCTTATTTACGTAAGTATTCAGACCATTTGCTATGAAACTCGAAACTGATCTCAGGTGCATCTTGTTTCCATTGATCATCCTTGAGATGTTTCTTCAAATTGATTGGAGTCCACCTGTGGTAAATTCAATTGATTGGACATGATTTGGAAAGGCACACACCGGTCTATGTAAGGTCCCACAGTTGACAGTGCATGTCAGAGTAAAAACCAAGCCATGAGGTTGAAGGAATTGTCCGCAGAGCTCCGAGACAGGATTGTGTCGAGGCACAGATCTTGGAAGGGTAACTAAAAATGTATGTAGCATTGAAGGTCCCCAAGAACACAGTGGCCTCCATCATTCTTAAATGGAAGAAGTTTGGAACCACCAAGACTCTTCCTAGAACTGTCCGCCTGGCCAAACTGAACAATCGGGGGAGAAGGGCCTTGGTCAGGAGGTGACCAAGAACCCGATGGTCACTCTGACAGAGCTACAGAGTTCCTCTGTGGAGATGGGAGAACCTTCCAGAAGGACAACCATCTCTGCAGCACTCCACCAATCAGGCCTTTATGGTAGAGTGTCCAGATGGAAGCAACACCTCCGTAAAAGGCACATGACAAACTACTTGGAGTTTGCCAAAAGGCACCTAAAGGACTCTCAGACCATGACAAACAAGGTTCTCTGGTCTGATGAAACCAAGATTGAACTCTTTGACCTGAATGCCAAGCGTCACGTCTGGAGGAAACCTGGCACCATCCCTACGGTGAAGCATGGTGGTGGCAGCATCATGCTGTGGGGGTGTTTTCAGCGGCAGGGACTGGGAGACTAAGCACACAGCCAAGACAACGCAGGAGTGGCTTCGGGACAAGTCTCTGAATGTCCTTAAGTGGCCCAGCCAGAGCCCGGACTTGAACCCGATCGAACATCTCTGGAGAGACCTGAAAATAGCTGTGCAGCTATGCTCCTCATCCAACCTGACAGATCTTGAGAGGATCTGCAGAGGAGAATGGGAGAAACTCCCCAAATACAGTCAGGGAAAAAAGTATTTGATCCCCTGCTGATTTTGTACGTCTGCCTACTGACAAAGAAATGATCAGTCTATAATTTTAATGGTAGGTTTATTTGAATAGTGAGAGACAGAATAACAACAAAAAAATTCAGAAAAACGCATGTCAAAAATGTTACAAATTGATTTGCATTTTAATGAGGGAAATAAGTATTTGACCCCTCCGCAAAACATTACTTAGTACTTGGTGGCAAAACCCTTGTTGGCAATCACAGAGGTCAGACGTTTCTTGTAGTTTGCCACCAGGTTTGCACACATCTCAGGAGGGATTTTGTCCCACTCCTCTTTGCAGATCTTCTCCAAGTCATTGGTCTTGTAGCCCATTCCAGCCTTGTGTACGTCTACAATCTTGTCCCTGACATCCTTGGAGAGCTCTTTGGTCTTGGCCATGGTGGAGAGTTTGGAATCTGATTGATTGATTGCTTCTGTGGACATGTGTCTTTTATACAGGTAACAAACTGAGATTAGGAGCACTCCCTTTAAGAGTGTGCTCCTAATCTCAGTTTGTTACCTGTATAAAAGACACCTGGGAGCCAGAAATCTTTCTGATTGAGAGGGGGTCAAATACTTATTTCCCTCATTAAAATGCAAATCAATTTATAACATTTTTGACATGCGTTTTTCTGGATTATTTTGTTGTTATTCTGTCTCTCACTGTTCAAATAAACCTACCATTAAAATTATAGACTGATCATTTCTTTGTCAGTGGGCAAACGTACAAAATCAGCAGGGGATCAAATACTTTTTTCCCTCACTGTATTTTTGCTTCGTCATTATTGGGTATTGTGTGTAGATTGATGAGGGAAAAAAACGATTTAATCCATTTTAGAATAAGGCTGTAAAGTAACAGAATGTGGAAAAGGTCAAGGGGTCTGAATACTTTCCGACTGCACTGTATGTTGGTCTATTGCAGGGTTTCCCAACCTCGCCGCCCCCCCCCCCCCCCCCCCCCCCCCCCACTCCGTCTGCTAAATGACTAAAATGTAAAAAATTTAATAATGAGTTGGTTATTTGAATCAGCTGTGTAGTGCTAAAGGCAAAAACCAAAAGTACCCTGGTCTATTGTACTTCAAACAATGTGTATGCAGGTTGCTTAGAAAAAAAATGCAAATACACATATAACTTTAAGCTACATATTCATTTGACAGGGGTAATGAACTGCCCATTGATCAGCACAGCAATTGATAAAACAGGACCATGTTTGCAAACCAATTGTTTTTTAGCTTATGTCAATATTACAGAGGTAAACTAACATTTCATGATGATTAATGAAATCTATACCTGTTTCTATAGACCTCTTGTTGTTGACCTGTTGTTATGTTGGCCACCTACTGACCAATACAGATGTTAGGAGATATGTTTGTTTCTCAATGACATGTATTGTTAAAAAAAGGTTTAAGGAAATACAAGCAAGCACCACATTACTACAAGACAAAACAGCTCGCTCAATCAAGCATGATGGTATTGTAAGTCTAAAAGCAAAGCTTGCGTTCATATAATTAAAAAAGCTTGAAAGGGTAGTGGAATGGGATTAGTGTGGTGTGTGAAGAATCCAATACTTTAACTTGTATGCGGTGCAAATCACATTATTGTGGGAGCACCTCCAAGAGTATGAATTAGGCTGTTTGAGAAGGTTTGGATCCTAAGCAACATTGTTTGAAGTACAATAGCTACTGTTGGAGGTCAAAGCTGTGTGCTGCAAAACCTTGGTAGAGCATGGGTGAGGAGCCATTGTGGTGCACATGTGAATTTCCTTTCTTTTTCGGCTTCAGAACAATCCCTACTTCTCACTTAAAATGAGTTTTTTGTTTTTAATATATATTTACACGCTATGAGGTTGGAATAATATTGTGAAATTGTGAAAATTATGATAATGCACTTTTAGTGTAAGAGCTGTTTGAAAAGACCAATAACAGTGAGAGTTTGCCCACCTTTCAGCCAATAACAGCTAGTTTCCATGTTACACATCCCTCCCATTAGGATCCTCCAATTAGGCCCGTCTCTCAGACCACTCCCAGACAGTCCTAGCAAAATTCTTGCTTGAGAAATAGCAGTTTGCTTTCTTTCTCTGACTTCCTCTCCCTCTTTCTCTCTCTCTGCCTACTCCCTCTCTCTGCATTCTCTCTCTCTCTCTCTCTCTCTCTCTCTCTCTCTCTCTCTCTCTCTCTCTCTCTCTCTCTCTCTCTCTCTCTCTCTCTCTCTCTCTCTCTCTCTCTCAATCATTATCTTTCTCAGTTGCAGTGTGTGTGTGGGTGCCAGCAGTGCTGTCAGTAGCTCTGTGTGACTGACATATAGATCTACAGAGGAGAGGCGTGTGTCTGCTGCTGACAGCTGTTCACAACACACTCTCTACATTACTCTGTCACTGGGCTGTCACTACAGTCTAAACAAGCCTTTATACCTTCTCACTCTCTCTCTCTCTCTCTCTCTCTCTCTCTCTCTCTCTCTCTCTCTCTCTCTCTCTCTCTCTCTCTCTCTCTCTTTCTTTTGTGTGCTCCATCTCTCTCTTTCTCTTGTGTGCTCTCTCTCTCTCTCTCTCTCTGTTAGCTCTCTCTCTCTCTCTCTCTCTCTCTCTCTCTCTCTCTCTCTCTCTCTCTCTCTCTCTCTCTCTCTCTCTCTCTCTCTCTCTCTCTCTCTCTCTCGCTCTGTGATTTATCTGTGTTGTGTGCTATGTCAACAGCGTCCGGTCCTTGTTGTAATTGGTAGGGATGGGGTGTTAAAAGGATAGGTTTTTCATGGTTGATCAAAAACAGTCGAGGCAAAATGAATGTTGCTAACAGCCAGGCATCCCATCTGTTCCATTTGTCATTTACACGTGAAGTGTAGAAAGAAAGCGATACCGATAATCAGTATACTATACTTTTTGGCTAAGTCTATGGGTAACTGCTTTTGTGTTTTCTTTTTGAAATTATGTCAATGCTTTGATATCTTACATTGTATATATTGTGAAGAGTAAATTGGTGCATTTCAACATGACTAATATCAATCAAACTCAATCAACCAATTCATTAATGATTCCTCTCTCTCTGTCTCCAGGTGCAGATGTGACGGAACCCAACAGCTCAGACAGTCGCGGAGAACGCCTCGACTTTTTCCTCAAACAGGAAGCGGCTCTGGCAGCGAGCGAGGCCAACTTCCTGGGTGCTAGCGAATCAGATGATGCCGGAGGTGGGACCGGGGGCAGGACTACCCCATTGGTAGCTAATCTGAGGGCAGCGTTGATGAGTAAAAACAGCCTGCTGTCGCTACGGGCTGAGATGCTGGGAGACGATAACCCTCTACTGTTTGAGTACCTGCCCAAAGGAGGACACTCCCTCTCACGTAAGTTACTGTTATAGTACATGACACACACATACACACCACACTCCACTCTATAACTGCTGTTCGAGTGTCACACAATACCACTGATATAGAATCACCATTCTCTTGTTGGCTTTTGTGAATTTTGTTTTGGTGTGTATGTATGCTTGCGTGTGTGCGTGTGTGCTGTGTGTGCATGTGTTCAGTATGTAACAGGTCTGTGTGATGGTGCGAGAGAGGATTACTCAGTTGTGACTCAGTGAGAGAACATTGTGCTGGGATGGCTCCCGGGTGTGTGAGAAAATATTTGCTGGATTTCTTTGCCGGATTGTGTGTGTGGTTTCATACAACAGGGTTTAGCCATGTTCATCTGTGTGAATTTGTGAGTGAGTGAATGATGTAAGGCTTTGAGGATGGCCTTCCCCTACCCTCCACCTTGTTCTAAATATATCATGATGCAAGTAATTGGTATGATAAAAGCTTTTAAATCATCAACTTACATTTCCCACTCACTGCGCCTCTCCGTTAAGTTATTTTGGACCATTGGAATATATCTCCCAGTGCATATTTGTGTGTGTGTGCGTGTGTGTGCGTGCGTGTGTATGTTTTATTTCTCTGTTTTCCTTGGCTGGTAATTGTCTCCTTTGTGCTGAGTTGTTTCTTTCTTTGTTTGGGGGAGACAGAGAAAGGAGTCCAACTCTAAACCTCGTCATGCCCTTTTTGCTTCACTACAATAGGACTGGAGACTGGGGCTTTGACTGAATGGACCCCCTCCCCCCGCCCACACACACACACACATACACACACACTCACACACACACTGTTTAGTGTGCCAGAGTAAGATGTCTCTGTTGGTTTGCTTAAAGTGGAGAGACTGAGGCCCTGTCACAGACTGCCTCTTATCTGACAGGCCCTTACGAAAGGAAGAGGCCTAAATCAGACACACACAAATCATTTAATATAAGGGAAAAGGGGGGTAATAGTTCAAAATAGTTCTACAAGCAAAGAATCCTCAATCCCATTCATGTGGACCCTTAACATACCAGAATATCCATATTCATCAGCTCTCTCTATTCTTCCTTTGGCATCTCTGTTCAGTATTACACACACACATGCGCGCGCACACACACACACACACACACACACACACACACACACACACACACACACACACTAACACACACACACACACTAACACACACACACACAGTGGTGGAAGAAGTACCCAATTGTCATACTTGAGTCAAAGTAAAGATACTGTACCTTAAAGCGTTAATCAGCAGTTAAAACAATAACAAAGAGTTCTGCCCGCTCCTGTTTCAGTAAAAAGCTGAGGGTTGGTGCTAGGGAAATGTAACCACTCTCAAATTCATAGACAGAGCTATGGAAGCAAGGACTGACCATCCATGATATAAACATTATAGTTTTAACCATGTTTTGAGGATATATAGTGTTTGTTTACATGTACTTTGTTTACAAACATTGGAGTAAAACAATCTTATATTTTCGGTTCTGATGGGGTTTGACAATTATATTCTTTAAGAATCAATGGGTACAAAAATGGATGTAACAACTGCAGATTACCTCTTTAATAGAAAATGTCACCCACTAAAATCTCAAAAGTATCTGGTTTTAAATATAATTAAGTATCAAAGTAATAGCAAATGCAAAAATATACTTCAGTATCAAAAGTAAAAGTAAATGCTATAAATCATTTTTAAAAAAGAAAACATGAACATTTCCTTGTTTTTTATTTATTTATTGATAGCCAAGGGCACACTCCAACACTCAGACATCATTTACAAATAAAGCATTTGTGTTTAGTGAGTCCGCCAGATCAGAGGCAGTAGGGATGACCACGTGTTCTCTTGAAGTGTGTGAATTAGACAATTTTCCTGTCCTGCTAAGCAATTGTGTGAATAGGACCATTTTCCTGTCCTGCTAAGAATTCAGAATGTAATGAGTACTTTTGGGTGTGATGGAAAATGTATGGGAGTAAAACGTATATATACTGAACAAAAATATAAACACAACACAACATGTTTCATGAGCTGTGGTCCTCTGTAGCTCAGTTGGTAGAGCATGGCGCTTGGAACGCCAGGGTAGTGGGTTCGATCCCCGGGACCACCCATACTTAAAATGTATGCACACATGACTGTAAGTCGCTTTGGATAAAAGCATCTGCTAAATGGCTTATTATTTATAAAAGATCCCAGAAGCTTATTTTTCAAAAATGTTGTGCATAAATGTGTTTACATCCCTGTTAGTGAGCATTTCACCTTTGCCAAGATAATCAATCCACCTGACAGGTGTAGCATATGAAGAAGCTGATTAAACAGCCTGATCATTACCCAGGTGCACATTGTGCTGGGGACAATAAAAGGCCACTCTAAAATGTGCAGTTTTGTCACACAATACAATGCTACAGATGTCTCAAGTTTTGAGGGAGCATGCAATTGGCATGCTGACAACAGGAATGTCCATCAGAGCTGTTGCCAGAGAATGTAATGTTAATTTATCTACCATAAGTCGTTTTAGAGAATTTGGCAGTACGACCAACCAGCCTCACAACTGCAGACCACGTATAACCACGCTAGCCCAGGACCTCCACATCCGGCTTCTTCACCTGCGGAATCATCTGAGACCAGCCACCCGGACAGCTGATGAAACTGTAGGTTTGCCCAACTGAATAATTTCTGCACAAACTGTCAGAAACTGTCTCAGGGAAGCTCATCTGCGTGCTCGTCATCCTCACCAGGGTCTTGACCTGACTTCAGTGGGCAAATACTCACCTTCGATGGCCAATGGCACGCTGGAGAAGTGTGCTCTTCACGGATGAATCGCGGTTTCAACTGTACCGGGCAGATGGCAGACAGCGTGTATGGTGCTGTGTGGATGAGCGGTTTGCTGATGTCAATGTTGTGAACAGAGTGCCCAATGGTGGTGGTGGGGTTAGGGTATGGACAGGCATAAGCTACAGACAATGAACACAATTGCATTTTATCGGTGGCAATTTGAATGCATAGAAATACCGTGACAAGATCCTGTTTCAGCATGATAATGCACAGTCCCATGTCGCAAGAATCTGTACACAGTTCTTGGAAGCTGAAAATGTCCCAGTTCTTCCATGGCCTGCATACTCACCAGATATGTCACCCATTGAGCATGTTTGGGATGCTCTGGATCAACGTGTACAACAGCGTGTTCCAGCTCCCGCCAATATCCAGCAACTTCGCACAGCCATTGAAGAGTAGTGGGACAACATTCCACAGGCCACAATCAACAGCCTGATCAACTCTATGCAAAGGAGTGTTTGTAAGTCGCTCTGGATAAGAGCGTCTGCTAAATGATGTAAATTTAAATGTAAATGAGTGTGTCGCGTTGCATGAGGCAAATGGGGGTCACACCAGATACTGACTGGTTTTCTGATCCACGCCCCTACCTTTTTTTAAAGGTATCTGTGACCAACAGATGCATATCTGTATTCCCAGTCACGTGAAATCCATAGATTAGGGTCTAATTAATTTATTTCAATTGACTGATTTCCTTACATGAACTGTAACTCAGTGAAATCTTTGAAATTGTTGAATTTATATTTCAGTGTATTTTGGGAATGTAGTGGAGTTGTCAAACATATAAATAGTAAAGTAAAGTACATATACCCCCAAAAATTATTTAACCCTCCCGTTGTCCTAGGGTCAAAATGACCCGCCACTGTGTTGAACCAACTTTATTTAATTTTTATATTTTTGGGATCATTTGTGAGAAGGGGGCAGTGAGACTTTAAAGAAAGTATCACTGCCTCCTTCTCACAAATGATCCAAAAAATATAAAAATTAAATAAAGTTGGTTCAACACAGTGGCGGGTCATTTTGTTTGAGACAGAGTTTGTTTGGAAATACAAGTACTATCAGCATGTATTTACAACTACTTCGATTTGATTTGAAGTGTATTTTCAAGTACTAATAATTAACTCTTAGAAGCTGCACACAATATGCCTTGCATTAAACTTAAAATGAGATAAGGGGACCCAAAACAACACATTTTTGGAAAGAAATTACATTTTATGGCAGTTTATGTAAGGGTTTTTGAAATGTATTTGAAAAAAGTATTTGAAAACACTTTCAAATATCATTGGTAAAGTATTTGGTAGACCTACTTCAATTTTTCGAATAGAAGTAGGTTATTTGGACAGTGTATTTGAAAATACTCAAATACAAATACTTCTGCTTCGCCTCTCTCTCTCTCTCTCTCTCTCTCTCTCTCTCTCTCTCTCTCTCTCTCTCTCTCTCTCTCTCTCTCTCTCTCTCTCTCTCTCTCTATTCCCCGAAACACTGCCCCCACAAACACACACACACACTGTTGTTTTACATTGCACCTGGATCTCTATGGAAGTGTTACCTTGATACACCTACTGTACATGTGTGAATGAGTGAGTGAGTGATTTGGTCATTCAAGGATCCAACAATACATGCCCAATGTCTTATTCAGTTGTCAGAAACACTCTCGTATACTGTTTATGTGGTAGTGATCAGGGTGGGTAACTCTGCCCATCCTTTATTTTCCTGACTAGACCAACCTGCGCTCCAGCTCTCCCTAAAATGGATGCTCTCATAGACAGCTGATCGAAATCAGTATTTTATACTGAACAAAATCATTCGTCTTCTCAAACATCACGCACGCGCACACACATACAGACACTCACTCACTCGTCTGTCCTCTGTGCGCGCACGTGGGTGGAAGGAGAAGGAGAGGATGAACGAAAAAAGAGAGAGAGAAAACAGAGAACCAACCCCTAACCCTTTCCTCCTGGTAGAGGAGAGGACAGCAAGTCTTTTTGTTCTTTCTTCCTCCTCTCCTCTGCTCTGCGCTGGGTTGGCTGTGGCGCTGCGGCTGCCTCCGTGTGCCCCCTTGCCCCCTCTCTCTCTGTGCTGCTGTTGTGTGGACGCAGCCAGCTGGTTGCAGTTTGTCCTGAGTGGGTGGGTGAGACTCGTTTCCTGTGCTCCTCAGGCCTCCACAACAACCACCACTACCAGCAGCAGCAGCAGCACCTCCACAGCCCAACACAACCAGGGGCCACAGCAGGAGCCGCAGGGGCCACATTTGATAGCAAACAAGGGGCTGCTTCGTCCTCCTCTTCCTCCTCCTCTCCTTTTCTCCTCCCACCTCCTTTTCCACCGCCCCCACCATCCTCCCTCCGTCCGCCCACTGCCCCCCTGCAGCCCTCCGAGGCCAGGCCCCTGATGGCCCCTGGGTTGCGGCCTGGGGGACCCCTCGTAGCGCTCCACTCACACTCACAGGGGCTGGCTGTGGATGAAGAAGAGGCCCTAGAGGGCCCCGAGCCCTTCTCCCCCCCACCAGAGGTAAGCAGAAACATCGATGTTCACCCCTGGTGGAAGTTGGCCCTTCAGGCACTGATCTAGGATCAGCTTATCCTCACTAGATTATAACCTTAACAATGAGGAGGATGAATGTAAACATGACCTGAGATCAGTGTCCAGGGGCAACTTCAACCTTCTCCTTCTGGTTATACCCTGGGGGTAGGGGTGGGGTTGGTGGGGGGTTGTATACCCCTGGGGGTCATATCTCAACCCTTCCCCCAACCCCTCTACTATTATGTATGTTTCTTCACTCTAGTCTAGCTGACTGTGTGTGGAATTTGTTGTATTTCCTGTTTTTGTTACCTGTGTTATTATTACTGGTGATATCTGTTTGTCCTTACAACATGTCTGTCCAACCTGCTTCTTCTTGTCCATGTGGCTTTGTTTTTGTCATGTGTTCCTTTCTCTTTTCCTCTTTCAACTTTACGTTTTTGTATTTTTTATTTCATTTAATTAACTATCTTAACATAAGCACATACAGTACATCTAGAACCTATATTGCATACAACTAGCCCAGAGTAGGGAGTAATATTAATAGATGTGACATCACTTAGGCTATAAACGTGACATGTAATTTGACTTGAGAGCACCAGTGCCGATCAGATAATATATTGAATGGCACACATGGTTACAACTGTATCGTTGTTTCAAGTCCAATGCACTCATTTGAGTGGTGTGCATCACGAGAAAAGTCATTTGTATAATTTTTACTTCTCCTGTGAGAACCATTAGCACAGGCAAGTCTGATTAGGCTTCACTGTACCACAGCCTCTGCCATAGAAACACATGGAGCATGGCTTTGTGTCCGTGATTGCACCTTTACTATGCAGAAAACCACTCATCTCTAGCCCAAACCGTTGAAAAGTAAAGAACCATTTTACCGAAACAAAAAATATTTCTAGAGGATTCGCCGGACTCTTTTAAAGGGGTACAAACACATTAATCATCATGAGTAAGGAATTATGAAAATAGTTCAAATAAACCCTATTTAAACTATAAAAAACGTTTGTCACAGAAAATAGATGGTTTGCAGTATTAGATTAGATGGAGGTCATTACCACTAAATCAATTAATAGGAACATTTTAGGTGTTCAGCGGGATTTTCAATCCCATCAAGGTGTGCCACAGTTCAAACAAGGTTGGGAACCACTGCTATAGATGGTTTGGATAACATAACAGTTTTGGGACTGAATAGAATCAATATCTCTAGACAACAAGAGGGTCGCACTGAGACCGCAGGAAATTGCCTGCTCCATTCTGCCACTGTGTGTGTGTGTGTGTGTGTGTGTGTGTGTGTGTGTGTATGTGTAGAAGCAGCATTTGGTTTCAGTGGACCTCCCTCCCTACAAGCCTCCATATCTCTGTGGACAAGCCATCTGTTTGCCCAGTGCATGGTGTCTGTTCTTAAGGAAGCAGGGAGGGATGGAGAGTGGATGTGGAGGAGGGGTATGCTTTAGTTTGGGGATGAATACAAACACACACACACACACACCCATGGGGAGTGGTCATTGAACAAAAGTGCATCTGTAACCCCCCTTTCCAGAGATACGAGTAAATATTGAATACCCTATTGTCATCTCCCTCAACCCCCTTTCTCTCTCTCTCTCGCTCTCTCCTTCCACCTGTTATGTTACATAAAAGGAGTAAAGGGTGATTGTGTTACAATGTCACACTGACCACAGACTATAGCCCTTAGATCGACAGAAGGACCACACCCAAACATTGATCTATTTTTAATCTCTGTTTGTAATAGTGTTTTTGTTTATTTGAGTTATTAATCCATGTTATTTATTTCTTTGCTTTCTGACTTTTTCTCTCTTTAACAGTTTGTCTTCTTTATGTGTCTTTTGTTTTGTCAAGATGTGTGAATTTTGTGTGTGTGTTTCTCTCTCTCTCTTTCTGTGTGAGTGCGTTCACAGCTTGCCTTGCCTGCATGCCCAAATAATATTCTTCGACACAGTACATTTTAGAGCCAGGGTGCGTTTGTGTTAACTGTGTATCCTGTGTTTTTAGGAGGATATGCAGGATGAAAAAGATTCTAATCAGGGATACAACAAAGGTATGTATGGTGCCTGACATGTTAATTTTAGATGGCATATACATTATAAAAGTCCTTAGACCTCTATTCATATTTTACCATTGTCTCTGTATAGCTAGGTTTTTAAATGTTTATACAGTACAAGTGGCAACAGTTCTCACATTATTATCTCTTTCTCTTTTCTCTTTCTCTCCCACACTCTTTCTATTTCTTCACTCTCTCCCTCTTCCTTCTCTCTCTCAATGCTTTCTTCCCCCCTATCTCTCTCTCTCTCTCCCTTCCTCCTCCTTCTCCTCCTCCTCTCTCTCTTAGTTCTGGAACATGGCCCGTCTCCCATGGAGGGGGATCAGATGGCTGAGGGGAGGCATGGTGTGTCCAGGGAGGAGGTGTTGGAAGGTGGGGGGAGAGGGGCCCTGTCGGGGCCTCCTTGGCCCCAGAAGCTGGCTTGCTCCCTGTGCAAACGGCTGTTCAGCAGCCTGGAGCAGCTCAAGGAGCACGAGTACCGCCACACCCTGTCCCTCATGGCCATCTCCCTAGACTGGCCTGACCTGCAAGGCCCCCAAGCCAACCACCACCACAACCAGACTCATGCATTCTCTCAGGGACCCATTCACTCGCAGTCTCTCTATCACCTCCCGGTGGCTGAGCCTTTCCCAGCACGGTACCTCTGCTCCCAGTGTCCAGCCACCTTTACCCTCAAGTCCAACGCAGACCGACATGAGAAGACCATCCACTTCAAGAGGAAACTGATGCAGTGCACCTACTGTCTGAAACAATTCAGAGACCGTACTGATCTACACAGACACCTGTCTTCCGTACACTCGAGAGAAAGAGGGCACTCTTGCCCGGCCTGTGCCAAGGCGTTCAGTACCCAGAAGAACCTGGCCACGCATGTCAAGGTGTGCTGCCAGATGGGGGTGGAAGTAGGGTCATGGAGAAGGGTCGGCATGGGGGTGGGGCAGGGTGGGGTTGCCAAGCAACTGTGGGGCTTGCATCATGAGATGAAGGCAGACGCCCATAGCAACCATAATATTCATCATCACCATGTGAATGTGGTCGATTGAGCTTGGAGGCATACAAAGATATAGAGAGTAAACACACACGACCACGCACACACACACACACACACACACACACATACACACACAAACACAAACACGCTATACATGCCAATTAATGACCTGTGGTGTCACTTCCTCCCTAAACCCATAGAGTCCCATTGGATGAGAGTAGATCTGAGCTGGGCGCCCCATATAGGTTATATGTAAGAGCACTGGTATATTTTCTACAGCCTGTGTAATATTTGTAAGTATTTGTACATTTATAAGATTAAAGACTGATCTTTCAAATACATTTTGGTTTTTACATATGGGCCTATATTTTTGAGAAGCCTTTAGGCATCTTTTTAAAAAGCATTATTAATATGCAAAGTTACCGGTGAAAATGTACTGTAACTCCTCACCTGAGTTCCAGCTTTGTTTTAATATATATATCAATATGTTTGTGCGTGTTAGTCTGTCTGTTTGTCATTCTGTCACTTGTTTATGGAGTTGACATTGTTTGAATGATTAGGGGTACTCATTTCGCTGATGATATGGTGCTGTTGTTGGAAATAGCTCTGGGTAGAATAAGGTCTAGGATCAGCTTACAGTACCTTTCTTAAATCCTCATCGTAACCATTAACACAAAACTGACTTTAGTGGAGTGTCTATGGGGAACATTGTTCTTCTACTTGTGCTTGTGGTGTTGGTTCTATCCCACTGTGTTGCCAGTCAGGGCTCAGCCTAGGCCCTCTTCTCCATATTAGGAGATATGTATCTCTAATTCTTTACTTCTCACTAAAACTGCTCAGAAACTGACTATGAGCCGCCACAAATCAGCACCACCTGCAGGTAATCCTATTTACGACACATTCACTGTCAGTGTTCATACTGCACACTATGATCAGAGGTTGGCTTATCTAATCTGAAACAATGTTACAATCATCTGTTTTAACCTTTATTCCAGTCAGGAAGTCTTACTGAAACAACACATCTCAGATGTAAAAAAAAAATAAAAAATAAAAAAAGAGGACGGTCTTACATTCAGAGCAGGCCTACAATAAGTACAAATGTGACAGATACAACAGCCCTTAGGGGGTAACGTTTACCCAAATCGTCTTGCACTAAAGTACACCTAAATGGATTTGAGGATAGAGGTATCACTCTATGTTTTGGCACAATTTCCTCTCCTTCATCTGCTCTGGTGTGAACCAACTGGACTGGTGAAAGCAGGTGTCTGTGAAGGCGTTTGACATTTTCCTACATTTGGCCTGTGTTGGCCTGTGTTGTTTTCTAATCAGTGCAGATGAAGGAGCACCAAGCAATTTAAAACAACAGAGACGCGCTGGTGGGATGTTGGGGTGGGGTTAGGGTCGTTCCAAGTCCCTTTCTCTCTGTGCGCTGCGCCCAATCCTCCTAACCCCCTCTATAAGCCCAGCTGAAGGAGAATAGTAGTTGGCTCTTCTTAGCTCCAGCCTTTATTGACCTAAGACTCCTCATATAAAGAGGAAGTGGGCGGAGGAGGTGCATGACCTCTCTGACCTGAAAAGAATGGATAGAGAGAGAGAGAGAGAGAGAGGAGACGAGAGCAGAGAGGAGAGTTAGGAGAGACGACGAGAGAGAGATATGAGAGAGAGAGTAGAGATGCAGAGAGAGAGAGAGAGTAGAGAGAGGAGAGGATGAGAGAGAGAGAGAGATGAGAGGAGGAGAGAGAGAGAGAGAGAGAGAGAGAGAGAATATGGGAGAGGGAGAGAGAAGAGTAGAGGTTGGATGGTGTGGTCAGAGAGGGGCAGACTGTCCATTGTAACACAGTCTGTGGTTGATGTACAGGGAGTAATGTTTGTGAATGGCAGGGTGGGACTGAAAACTAGGCCAAACCTATCACTTACTGTATCTTAACTGGAATTCCTTATAGACTGTTTGTCTTCCTCCTGCTTGCTACGATTTGAAAACAAGGGGCATGCGTTTTGAATGTATAATTTGGTTGGTGGATTGATGCTATTTTGAGTAACTGAATTGTTGAACCACAAAGCGCTCTCTCTCTCTCTCTCTCTCTCTCTCCTCTCTCTCTCTCTCTCTCTCTCTCTCTCTCTCTCTCTCTCTCTCTCTCTCTCTCTCTCTCTCTCTCTCTGTGTGTGTGGCTGGTGGTCCTTAAGGACTTAAATATGTCACAGTGTTTGAGTGGTCTGACTTAAATGCTTTCTTGCCATAAATGTTACTCTCTGAGAGCTAGGACTCCTAAAGCCCAGCTAACAACAAACGTTCCCACAACTTTAGAGAACGTTCCCTTAAGAGTCTCATTAGGCTATCAACGTCACTCAAAACATACACAGAACATGGTTACCATGTTCTCAGAATATAAGAGATTAATGTTCTAGACACGTTTCATGGGAATGTTGCAAGAACATTCATGTGTCCAGTTTTCTGAGCGTTAGGATAAAATGTTATCAATGTCACACCAAACATACACATAACATGGTTGCCATGTTCTCAGAATATAGATATTAATGTTCTAGACACGTTTCATGGGAACATTGCAAGATCATTCCTGTGTCCAATTATTAAACATAGGACGTTCTGTCATGGTCCCCTGGAGGTTTTTGTCTAGTTCTCGCTTGTTCCAGGGATGTCCCTAAAGACGTTTTTAGGACGTCGCCTGAAGGTCCCAAAGATACGTTCTCCGAAGAATAAAAACATGTTTCTTTACACACCACCCCTTGTTACTGTTGCAGAACCCGTCAAAGCCCTGATTGGTGAACCACTGATCCATTCAAAGCTCTTTGTCTGTTGGCAAGGTTAGGGACACACACAGTGCTTTTAAAGATCGGAATACTGTGAACCAAAAGGTTGTGAGTTTAAATCCCAGGTGGAGACATATTGAATAGTAATTACTGTATAAATTAACATGCACAATGTAATCATGTATGTCAAATATGTAAGTTGAAAGCACTTTGTGTTTGTGGGTGTTCCTAACCTTGCCAACAGACAAAGAGCTGCGAATGGATCAGTGGTTCACCAATCAGTGCCTTAATGCGCTTAGTAACAGTAACAAGGGGTGATGTGTAATGAAATTTCGGAGAACGTCTCTTTGGGACCATCAGGTGACATCTTAAAGATGTCACCGGAACAAGCCGGGAACTAGACAAAAACCTCCAATGGACAATGACAGAATGTCCTGTGTTTAATACGTCCTTGGGACAGCAATGTTATTGCAACGTTTTCATGAAACTTTTCTTATATTCTGAGAACATGGCAACCATGTTCTGTATATGTTTAGTATAGAATGCATGGAATATTCTCCTAACCTTAAAAAAACTGGACACATGAATGTTCTTGCAACGTTCCCACAAAATGGTCTAGAAAAAGTATATATTATATTCTGAGAACATGGCAACCATGTTCCGTGTATGTTTGCTGTGACGTTGCTGGAATATTTCTCCTAACCCTCAGAAAACTGGACACATGAATGTTCTTGCAACGTCTCATGAAATGTGTCTAGAACATTAATATAGGATATTCTGAGGACATGGTAACCACATTCTGGATAAGTTAGTTTTGTTTGGCATTAAGGGAATGCTCTCCTAACTCTAACGCCAGAACATGCTAAATAGGGTCTCAGGAGGTTTTTGCTAACATACATAAAATGCTCCCCTAACTAACAGAAAACTGGACACTCAAACATCAGGGGAACATTACGGGTAACATTACAAAAATGTTCTCTCTCCCTAGAATTGTTAGCTGGGAATAGCCCTCCTCCCACTTCCACTTCCTCATTCTGAAAGTGTATTTTTCTGGCTGTTTGACGTGACTGTAGTACAGAAGCATGTCGTGTCCTAATTTCATGGAAGTGCATCAACCAATTAGCCAATCAACCAACCACTCAATCAATCAAATGTGGATTCACACAGGACCTTTTACAAATGCATCTGACCAAAAAAGCAAGCATTGTGTCAACCCCCAGAGAGCAATGACAATCTAAAGCTGTGTTTGTCAGTCCTGGTCAATGTGTGTCCTGTCTGTACCCATACTGTGAATATTACTCAAAGGGAAGAGCAGAGGGCCCTTCCATGGAACTTTAGGGGCATCAACCATTATGACTCTGGTCAAAAGCAGTGCACTCTACGGTGTCATGCCCTGTATGTCATTTTGGTGTTTTCCACACAAACAGGTATGAGAATAGAGAAACATGTTAAGTGGAATTTGTCGTCTTGTTTAAGAAACTCATCCCTGATCTGGCTTAGAAAAAAACTCAGTCAAATGTCAACCCCTAAAGACATAGGGTCCCTTTTTTCAGGGAGAATAACTCTACTGGGCTATGGTCAAAACAAGAAAGCAGGCTCCTCTCATGTGAATCCAGACTGATTACGAACCAGATGGTATTAGCCCTTTTTATAAAGAGCAAATTAGACTGATTTCAGTTGCACTGTTGTTATTTTGTTTTGTAAAGACAGGGTATTTTAGACTGTATTTTTGAATATTTTCATTCCCAAATATACCCTTTTCTTAATGTATTTTTATCAAGTTAGATGACATTTTCTGGTAGTTTGTATTCTGTAATCAATAAACTGTGAAGGAAAACATGTTTGGATGTTGGGTCTGATAATCTTTTTGTTGTGTTTGAGTCCTGTAGTTATGTAGAAATATACAGTACACACAAACTGTATAAAATCATGCGTTTAACACACATACGTTTTCCTTTCCTAAATTGTCTTACAAGGTAAGTAATATGTATCTGCATACTGTATGAGTATGTAAAAGGCATACTTTTGGTTGTAGATATAGACTATGCTCCATAGACTTTGAGTTACGGCCATGTTTCCCAACCAAGTTATGCCTAACAGTGTAAGGTTGGATGAGGTGGTCATATTTTATATTCTGACTCCCTGAGCCGTTCTAATGTCAGGTAACCAACATGTGTGTCACACCCCCACTGGGTTGTAGATAAAATGTGTACTCTATGTTCTTGTCTTACTTGGGGTTTGCTCCTCACCCAATCTATTAACCCACTGGGCACACTGGTTGAACCAACGTTGTTTCCAAGTCATTTTAGTGAAATCACGTTGAACCGATGTGGAATAGACGTTAAATTTACGTCTGTCCCCAGTGGGACGCTTTTTGCCTTGACACATTTAGTCAAAGTCCGGGTAAGACGCCTGTGCACACACACACACACACATCCATAAACACTATATATCTGCTGGAGCATCTACTTAACCTTTAGACTTTGAATGAATGGGCTTAGTGGAGGCTGGAGAATAGGGCTCTCCAACACTGTTTCTGGAGAGCTATGCCGTCCTGTAGGTTTTCCCTCCAACCCTAATCTAGCGCACCTGATTCTAATAATTATCTGGTCGATAAGCTGAAGGTCAGTTACAACTGGAGTTGGAGCGAAAACATACAGGAGGGTAGATCTCCAGGAACAGAGTTGGAGAGCCCTGCTGTAGAAGCTGAATAGCAACAGGATGGTATTACAATGATGTACATGATGTACTGTCCCCCTTTTACCTGACTTCACCTCTGTAAGTATCTAGCAAGTCCTCAACCTCACGTGTGTTGATCTCTACAGTACCTGATTCCTCCTGTGGTTTACCTGTTATATGCAATGAGTAGATACATAGAGCTATCATATGTTGCAATCTCTCTCTAACATCTCTCTACCCCTTTTACCTGACTTCACCTTTGTATGTATGTATGTATGCAATTGGCCATTGTTTTTTTTTACCTGACCTCACGTGTGTGTTGATCTCTACCCAATTCATCCTGAGTTGATCTATTATGTAATGTGGAGATGTAGCTTTATTGTAGGCCTTTATCCAAGCCTTACTGTATTGTAATGTTATATCTCTATTTCTCTCTCTCTCTCTACCTGAGATGTCTTCTTTGTGTGATCCAATAGACTAGTCACACTTCCTGAATAAAGAAACCTCTTCTAGGGAGTAAACAGGATGTTGTTGACTTGTTCCTGGTTGTTGTTGTTGATGATGTCTTGAGTTTGTCATTGCCTTTGTTACCTTCCTGTTTAGACAGACTAGTTGCCAGGGAAACTGTAAGTTTGACTGACATTTAGGTGGGCATAGGGGTTGGTAATACACTCTAATGTTAAATATAGGTTGGCAGTGTTTTATAAACCTGTGTCTTTGATCAATTGAATCTGTCACTTAAATTGCATTTATGGTATTTTATACATCTAACTGATGTAGACATTTTAAAACTTTTGAATGAACTTTAAATGAACTGTGGTTTAACTCAAGTAGACTAGATGCAAACTAATCCGTCTCTCTTTCTCTCTCTCTCTCCACAGTGAATGACTTCACAGTGATCCGTAAGAAGTTTAAGTGCCCCTACTGTAGTTTCTCTGCCATGCACCAGTGCATCCTGAAGAGGCACATGCGCTCCCACACAGGCGAGAGGCCCTACCCCTGTGAGATCTGTGGCAAGAAGTTCACCAGAAGGGAGCACATGAAGAGACACACACTGGTGAGTGCAGTGCAGTAGCAGACAGTCACCACCAGGGTGCAGCAGTGAGCTGAGTCACACACTGGCCATGCTGTTCCCTTTAAAAAAACGCTTTTAGGCACAGGTCTAGGACCAGTTCATCTTCTCTTAATCCTAACTTTAAGTATATGGTGGGAAAACTGCTAGATGTACCTTTGAAAATCCAAGAAAATCCATTTTGCAATGTCAGATTAAGGCACTGTTGGAAGGACTACAATGGTGCCGGAGGAGATGGCTGCCGTTTTACAGGCTCGTAACCAATTGTGCTATTGTGTGTGTTTTTTCGCGTTATTTGTAACTTATTTTGTACATAATGTTTCTGCCACCATCTCTTATGACCGAAAATAGTTTCTGGATATCAGAACAGCGATTACTCACCTCGTACTGGATGAAGATTTTTCTTTAACGAGTCGGACGCAAAGGATTTACTTCAGACACCGGACAAGGCCCAAAGCCCTGTCATTCGCATGAAGAAGAGACGGAGATATAGGGGACGTAGGTCGGGGTGCCTTGTAAGAATCCGACGGTGTGTGGGTAACCCACCTCTACCTTCCATACAGTTAGCCAGCGTGCAATCATTGGATAATAAACTGGATGAGCTCCGATCAAGACTATCCTACCAACGGGACATTAAAAACTGTAATATCTTATGTTTCACTGAGTCGTGGCTGAACGACGGCATGGATAACATACAGCTGGCTGGGTTTTCCATGCATCGGCAAGATAGAACAGCTGCCTCCGGTAAGACAAGGGGTGGCAGTCTGTGTCTATTTGTCAATAACAGCTGGTGCACGAAATCTAATATTAAGGAAGTCTCTAGGTTTTGCTCGCCTGAGGTAGAGTATCTCATGATAAGCTGTAGACCACGCTATTTACCAAGAGAGTTTTCATCTATATTTTTCGTAGCTGTCTATTTACCACCACAAACTGATGCTGGCACTAAAACCGCACTCAAAGAGCTGTATAAGGCCATAAACAAACAAGAAAATGCTAATCCAGAGGTGGCGCTCCTAGTGGCCGGGGACTTTAATGCAGGAAACTTAAATCCATTTGACCTCATTTCTACCAGCATGTTACATGTGCAACCAGAGGGGAAAAAAACTGTAGTCCACCTTCCTGCTTACAAGCAAAAACTAAAGCAGGAAGTACCAGTGACTCACTCAATACAGAAGTGGTCAGATGACGCAGATGCTAAGCTACAGGACTGTTTTGCTAGCACAGACTGGAATATGTTCCGGGATTCTTCCGATGGCATTGAGGAGTACACCACATCAGTCACTGGCTTCATCAATAAGTGCATCGATGACGTCGTCCCCACAGTGACCGTACGTACATACCCCAACCAGAAGCCATGGATTACAGGCAACATCCACACTGAGCTAAAGGGTAGAGCTGCCGCTTTCAAGGAGCGGGACTCTAACCCGGATGCTTATAAGAAATCCCGCTATGCCCTCCGACGAACCATCAAACAGGCAAAGCGTCAATACAGGACTAAGATTGAATCGTACTACACCGGCTCCTATGCTCGTCGGATGTGGCAGGGCTTGCAAACTATTACAGAATACAGAGGGAAGCACAGCCGTGAGCTGCCCAGTGACACGAGCCTACCAGACGAGCTAAATGACTTCTATACGCGCTTCGAGGCAAGCAACACTGAATCATGCATGAGAGCACCAGCTGTTCCGGACGACTGTGTGATCATGCTCTCTGTAGCCAATGTGAGTAAGACCTTTAAACAGGTCAACATTCACAAGGCCGCAGGGCCAGACGGATTACCAGGAAGTGTGCTCCAAGCATGCGCTGACCAACTGGCAAGTGTCTTCACTGACATTTTCAACCTCTCCCTGACCGAATCTGTAATACCTATATGTTTCAAGCAGACCAGCATAGTCCCTGTGCCCAAGAACACTAACAACGATGAGACAACCTAGGAGAAGGGAGGAGGTCAGAGACCTGGCAGTGTGGTGCCAGGATAACATCGAGAGCATCCTGACTGGTTGCATCACCGCTTGGTATGGCAACTGCTCGGCCTCCGACTGCAAGGCACTACAGAGGGTAGTGCGTACGGCCCAGTACATCACTGGGGCCAAGCTTCCTGCCAGGCGATGTCAGAGGAAGGCCCTAAAAATTGCCAAAGACTCCAGCAACCCTAGTCATACTGTTCTCTCTGCTACCGCACGGCAAGCGGTACCGGAGCCCAAGTCTAGGTCCAAAAGGCTTCTTAACAGCTTCTACCCCCAAGTCCTAAGAGTGTTGAACAGCTAATCAAATGGCTACCCGGACTATTTGCACTGAACCCCCCCCCCCCCCCCCCCCCCCCCATTTTTACGCTGCTGCTACTCTCTGTTTATTATCTATGCATAGTCACTTTACCTCTACCTACATGTACATATTACCTCGACTAACCTGTACTCCTGCACATTGACTCTGTACCGCTGCCCCCTGTATATAGCCTCGTTACTGTTATTTTATTGTTGCTCTTTTAATTATTTGTTATTTGTCTATTTTCTTATTTTTTACTTCAGTTTATTTTAGTAAATACTTTCTTAACACTTATTTTTCTTTAAACTGCGTTGTTGGTTAAGGGCTTGTAAGCATTTCACTGTAAGGTCTACACCTGTTGTATTCGGCGCATGTGACAAATAAAATGTGATTTGATTTTTGTTCCATTTTGGCCCTAGCCCCCTCGCCTTCTGTGTTCACAGATTTGAAAGTACTGGATAAGTGAAATTAAATCTGAAAGCCAGAGCAGAGCAGGATATAGTACCACTCAGCTGCTGTGCTGTGCTCAGGGGAGAGGAGTTCAGAGAGCAGAGAAACATCCACAATGACTACAGGCCAGCCCAGCAGGAGTCAGGAAGAGACGAGAGGGGAGGAGGGGAGGGTTAAGGACTATTACTGGGCTTGGCTTTGAGCTCCCACAGTTTTGCAATGCCAGAGGATAGCATGTAGAGAGGCTTCGGCCAACATCTGTGCTGGATGCCATGTTTCTGTATTCTGGGTTATTTCTGACAATTATTTGACAATGCTGTCTCACTGTTGTTTGGCAAGACAACAATTTGGCTTGAGCAGAAACAGGCTGACAAATGTTGCTTCCTCTGAGCATTCCAGTCTGTCCAACTCAGTTGGTAAGCTTGGTTTAGACTTCAGCATTCTTAAGGATAAAAGTATATGTGTGTAAATTGTGTGTGTTAATGATGTGTGTGTCTCTCCTACAGGTCCACAGTAAGGATAAGAAGTATGTGTGTAAGATCTGCAGCCGGGTCTTCATGTCGGCAGCCAGTGTTGGAATCAAACATGGCTCCCGTCGCCACGGCGTCTGCGCTGACTGTTCCGGGCGGGGCATGGCCGCGTTATTGGACCACAACGGGGAAGTGGGCGGAGACGTCTCCCCCGAGGACGAGCTGTATCCTGGCGACCACCGTTTCCATGATGACCAGACGGAGTGCGACGGTGACGGAGAGGGGGAGGAAGAGATGATGACGGAAGGGGATGGAGAGATAATGGGAGAGGTGGATGACGAGGGAAGGAAGTGGAAGGATGACTCAGGGATGATGACGGAGGGAGACGGAGTGATGGACAACGACAAGGAGGAGAGCTGTGACTCTGTGCCAGAGCGGGAGCAGCACAACGGGAGCGAGAAGGATTTCTCCTGGATCTCTTAGGATCCCATGGGATCATTTAGGATCTATCGTGGATCTGTTGGGATGTCTTAGGCAGAGACAGCTCTCTTTACCCATGTATATGGGCAGGCCTTTCTCTGAGTGGGGTATGTGGGCGATACGTGACAATGATCTAAATTGACAGGTGCCACACACACACACACACACACACACAAGCTGAGCCCTGTACTGATGATTACCATGGAGAACGATTGAGAGTAAAAAGAAAGAGAAAGAGAGGCTCGTTCTAATCACCTCCTTTCTTTCTGATGCAGTTTCTTTCCTCTTTAGTTTTGTTGGTTTTGTTTTTTTGTTTGTTTCTGATGAGGACCAGACCAGAGTCTGTGCATTGGTTTAGATGTCCACCTATGACACACTGGCACCAATGAGGACTCATTAAACGTCTTGGGTGATTTTGAACTGTGGCCGTTTGTGGTCACAGTTGCCATGGACATGACGGATTGTTAACGGTTTGGGAAAATGCCAAGGTGGTGTCTTGTTGCCATGCAGTGTTATTTGGGGACAGTCTCTATACATTTTTGGGACAGCCTTTTATCTATTGCAAAGATGCACGCGTCGGGCAGCGGTTGGCACATTGTCTCCTGCAGAGTGAAACTGCCACAAACTTGCACTTTAACGTCGACTAGAATCCTGTCAATGCCCTCAACCCGTGGTTTACATTTTCAATCTGATTTTACCTACACAACTCGGTGACCGCACCTACCTTTAAGGATATATTGTATGTCCTCATGACTGTTATGATATATAAATATATGGATATTAGAATGCTTTTGCTGTAGTTTGCTGATTATATAGCCTATGCCTTTAAATGGGTTCTTTCTCCTCCACTTAAGTTTACCATGTGTTTCTGTTGAGCTGTGTTGAGAATTATGAAAGGTTGAGCAAATGTACATACAAACAAGCCACAGGAATTAGATTGAGCAAGAGGGAGAGTTGACGAGCGAGAGGGAGAGATAGGTGTATGAGAGAGAAAGGGAGTGTTAGAGAGACGAGAGAGTGAGAGTGAACACTATGCAGGAACATAAATGATCAATCCAGATGTAAGTGTTCTTAAATCTCTACTTTCAGAGAGAGGACATCAAATGAAAGTGTATTGGTCGCGTACACAGTTTAGCAGATGTTATAGCGGTGCAGTGAAATGCTTATGTTACTAGCTCCAGATAATGCAGTAGATAGATCAGAGAGAGAGAGAGAAGAGAGAGAGAGAGAGAGAGATGAGAGAGAGAGAGAGATAATCGAGAGAGAGAGAGAGAGAGAGAGATATCTCTCTATCGTCTAGCTCTCGCTCTCTCTCTCGCTCATCTCTATCTCTCTCTAGATCACTCTGCTCCTCTCTCGCTCTCTCTCTCTTCTCTCTCTCGCTCTCTCTCTGCTCTCTCGCTCTCTCTCTCTCCTCTCTCTCTCTCCTCTCGCCTCTCTTCGCCCTCGCCTTCCTTTCTCTCTCTGTCTCCTCTACTCTCTCTCCGCCCGCCTCTCTCGAGAAGAGAGTGCCTATTTGCTTGCAGATGCCAATTTGCTTACCAATGTCTACCATTTCCCTATACGACAAGGGGTGAGAGAGACAGACTACATACACAATCTACATACACAATGATGACGGGTCAAAACTCATGCCAAAACAAGCACACTATAAAACTATTCTACATGACGCTACATGGCTTACATTGATTCTCTCTTTCTCCTTCTCTCTTTCCTTTTCTCACTCAATATTTCCTTCCATCTCATGTTGTATCTCTGTGCAGGTGTCGTGTTGAGAAGCAGACTCTTTAAAACCTTTGTTTTATTATCATTTTTATATTTCACCTTCAATACAGAATATGCACACTTTTACATCTTAGTAGACCTTAAATGATGGTTCATCTTTCTTTTTGGTTTGTATTTGTGAATAAGAAAATAAAAGCTCAGGCTTCTGCTTGAGTCCATCCAGAGAGTGGCCTGTTCTGTTGAGTGCTTTTATGACGCTTTCTTTTGTTTGAAAAGGTTATTTATTAAAATACATGTTTTTGTAGTAGAATTATTATACTATAAAGGCCCTTCACTCTGTCTAATGCCTTCTGTGGGCACAGTGTGTGTGTATGTGTGCGTATGTGGATGTGTGTGTTTGTGTGTGCACGCGTGTGAGATGTGTATTGATTTTCTTACGATTATTTCCTGTTATTTGACCATTTTGAGTCTTATTATGATGATCAGAATTATGATTATTGTTGTTATGATTATATTATTATTATTATTATTATTAACATTATGATTATTAAGTGCTGAATGCTAAGCTTTGTTGTGTGTTTCTTTTTGATATTTTATATCTTGTATAAAGAAAGCTTTTATATTTTGCCTTGTTGTGGACAGTAAGCCATTAGGCTTTTCTGATTAGTTCTATCGTGTCAGTTCTCTGCTTTTCTGTTGTATTTGTTTTCTACAGAGAAATAAGACAAATTAGAGGAACTTATTCTAAGTTAGATATGGATCGGAACTAACTGTATGTATGGTATGGCACATGCTTCTATATTACTAACATACACTAATTTATTAACATCATACCAAAAACAATCTAATACGTTGTATCAAGTGCTTTTGTTTCAACGGTGCGTGTGCAGGTGCAAATATTTTCAATTTATTGTGGTCTAATCATTTTGTTGTTTGGATGTTGTTCTTTTGTTTAGTTTTTTATATTTCTCATATATGGTATAATTGTATATGAAGGGCCTTGTGACCTGCTAATCTAGACCTGCTGGAGATTGCAAATTTAACCCCTCTTTTCTTTATTGGCCTTGTTTCCAACTGTGTGTTCTACTGTATATCCTAAACATAAGCCCAATTCCAAATCTACCCCTGGCCCGACCCCTATACACTTTTTGTAGGTCTGAAATGATTGGACTGGTGTAAATATTATGGAAACATTTCAACCTGACCTATCAAAGGGCAAGGTCCTTCCAGACCTACAAGACATGTTTTGGGGTGCCTGGACGCTTCGAGGGAAAGGAACAGAGTGGGCCACAGTGTTGGCTCTGGGAATTGTAGTTGTGTTGCCACAGGTGGTTGCAAACATACCATCTGCCACACTTCAATTTCCATCAGTCTCAATGCTAAACACTGTATCCACCGAACACCCCTCTGCTGTGTGTTTGATTTCACTGATTTGAAATGCCTTCTCCGTGTGTGGTGGCTAGCTTTATTTAAGTAGGTATTATTTTGCTTTTACCCATCCATGAGCAATTTCTAATCTGTTGAAGTTTTCAGAAAGAAAACAAATGACGTTGGGTGGATATTTTGAATGTTAATGGCTGAATATGATGGGATTGTCAAGAAGTGCAGTGTATTTGGAAGGAGTGCAGTATCAGTGATATTTCTCTGTCATCCACCCGGTGCTTTTCCAGACTCCTGTGAACACAGATGTTTTTACCCACTTCAGTCTTCTCATCATCACCTGCCTGCCTGTGTCTTCTTCCTCCTTCTTGGGTTGTAATTCAGGAAACATTTGCCATCCAATCCCCTCAACAATGTGCCTCGATCTGTTTTACCTGTGTGTGCGTGGGTGTGCCTGCATGGGTGTGTTGGAGTGTGTGTTTTCAAGAGAAACGGAAATCATATATTTTATCTCAATCACAGGTGCAAAAAGTTGAGACAAAGAAAAATGCAGCTCTATGTTTCTGTTTCTGACAGTGTTTATTAATCCTTTGTGCCCTGGTTTTATGGTCTTAACTGCACGTCTTTATTCATTTGTCATACCAAAGTCTCTAACAGCCGCACCCAACTGGTTAATTTCACACCATGCCAAACCGGAACTGTTTGCTCTTTAGCGGATGAATATGGATATTCCCTTCTTAGATGTGTACAAAATTGCAATCCTGATTTAGCCTGTGTAGCTTGATTCGTATGTGCAAATCACAAAGCCATAGACATGGTTATATCTAGAGTATACTATACTTCAAATTCTTACTTTTTATTTTAGATTCTGTTCTTTACTAAGAGTGATGTGTGTATTCATATATATATATATAAATTGATATTACTATTATATATTATTTATTTTCTCTCACATTTCGCAAGGTGTCTTTCGTTTGTAAAGTGAGATGCTTGAAACTTGATGGTTCTTTGTTGGGAATATTGTTCAATATGATACTGACTTTATATTGATTATCATAAACCTGTGTATGTAACAAAGATGTGTTGAATAATCAAAACCTTGTTCTGTTTGGGAGGATTCAAGTGGGCAGATTTTCTGTAAAGTACTGATCACTTGAACGTTTTTATAGCCAAACATGAACTTCCCTACCGTCCTGTTGTGAGGGCTAGCCTAAAGGGCTAACCCAGGCCTCTTTCTAACTTCATGTTTAGTGGAATTAGCTTGACTATTATTTGCAAAACCAATCAGTCTCAATAAATTTGGAAATTGCTGCTGAAAATAAGTTATGTTTGTTTTGTACATTTTGTGTTCGTGTCAACCTCCACTGTATGATTTCTACCCTAGCGCTATAATACACCTGTTCTTCACATGAGGGAGAAGTAGGCTTTACAACAATAAAGGTGTAGGGTGAAGTTGCCCCTAGATGCTGATCTTGGGTCAGTTTCACATTTTCCACACTGATGGTCAAGGTTAGAATTGGGGGAGGGGAAGCTGATCCTAGATCTATACCTAGCAGAAACTTCATCCCAGAACTTGTGACACACACACACACCAAGGGAGAAATGGGGTGTAGATATTGGGGGGGGGGGGGGGCTAACATTAGACGGGGGGTCCGGGGGTCGTCCTCCATTTTTGGTTTGACATTTTAAAATGCATTTCCTCATATTCTACACAGTTTGACATTATGCGTCTCTTGAAGGGTATATGGAGGGATATTTTGAAAACACAGTATAAGTAGAATGATAAATGGAAGGATAAGTCATCATAAAAAATACACAAAAGATGAAGACTGAGTTGTATTATAATGATGCACACATGCATATTTATTTATATTAAGACACAAAAGATAAAGACA